TTTTTTTTTTTTTATGTTCAACAATTGATGGTTCAATCCGCAATGTCTTCAGGATATTGAGGTGAACAATAGAAAGGTAAAAGTTCATCAACGTGATGGAAACTTTCAGTATTCTGAATGGAAGAATCTTAGAGTGGGAGACATTGTAAAGGTGCAAAAAGATGAATTTTTTCCAACAGACCTCATCTTGCTTGCATCCAGTTATGAGGATGCAGTCTGCTATGTTGAGACCATGAACCTTGATGGGGAAACCAATTTGAAATTGAAACAAGCACTAGAGGTAACTTCATCCTTACAGGAAGACTATAACTTTCAGGACTTTAAGGCTACTATTAAATGTGAGGACCCAAATGCAAATTTGTACTCTTTTGTTGGAAGTATGGAGTTTGAAGCGCAACAGTACCCCCTTTCTCCTCAACAACTTCTCCTACGAGACTCAAAACTCCGGAATACAGATTACATATATGGGGCTGTTGTCTTCACTGGTCATGACACCAAGGTCATGCAAAATTCTACAGACCCTCCTTCTAAGAGAAGCAAAATTGAGAAGAAGATGGATCGTATTATCTACTTAATGTTTTTTATTGTATTTATAATGGGGTTTGTTGGTTCCATTTTCTTTGGAGTTGCAACTAGAAAGGACCTGGAAAATGGAAGGATCAAAGACAGGTGGTATCTTAGACCAGATAGTTCTGACATTTTCTTTGATCCTAAAAGAGCCCCAGCTGCAGCAATCTATCACTTCCTAACGGCTCTTCTTCTTTATAGCTACTTCATTCCCATCTCGTTGTATGTGTCAATAGAAATTGTTAAAGTTCTTCAGAGCATCTTCATCAATCAAGATATTCACATGTATTATGAGGAGGCTGACAAACCAGCGCATGCCCGTACCTCTAATTTGATTGAAGAGCTTGGCCAAGTTGATACAATACTATCTGATAAGACAGGAACATTAACCTGCAATTCGATGGAGTTCATCAAGTGTTCTGTAGCTGCTACAGCTTATGGCCGTGGTGTTACAGAGGTTGAGAGGGCTATGGATAGAAAGAAAGGTTCACCCTTGGTTCATGAAAAACTAAATGGTCTGAATCATATTCATGGTTCTACTGATATAAAGCCAACCATTAAAGGCTTTAACTTTAAAGATGAAAGGATCATGAATGGAAACTGGGTTAATGAGCCTCGTGCAGATGTCATCCAGAAGTTTTTTCGTCTGTTAGCAATCTGTCATACTGCAATACCTGAAGTGGATGAAGATACAGGGAAAGTTATGTATGAGGCTGAATCACCTGATGAAGCAGCATTTGTGATTGCAGCAAGAGAACTTGGCTTTGAATTCTACAAAAGGACGCAAACAAGCATCTCCATACTTGAGTTGGATCCTGTGTCTGGAAAGAAAGTTGACAGGTGAGAATATCTTTTCGTGCCTTAACTATCTGCATGTTATGTCGCTATATAATCATCTTATGCTTATTTTATGCCATTGGCTAACGTTGTGGGAATATCTTGATGTCAAGTTCACCTGGCCCCTGAACCATTTATAAGCTTAATAGGAACATATTTGTCTGTTTAATCTCAGTAGAAAACAGATCAAACAAAAAATGAATTCTTTATAGGTTTCTTGTTTATCTTAGAGCATTATTTTTTAGGCAATGTTCGCTGAAAGATGGATTCATTTTCTTTGAAATTAGAAACTTGATTGCATGGGGCTACTAACCTCAATATGAGCTTCATGTTCAGAAAGATCCAGTTGATCCTCTTAACTTGCTTTCACTGTTTCGTATTCCCTCTAATATAATTGGCTAATTAAAAAAAGAAAGGTGACAGAATGGTTTATATGTTACTCTTTGCATGTGTGAGTATATACCCATCAGCATGCAGGGATATTGTCCTAAAAATGATGCTTCACTTGTTTAAGAATATTTTGAGTGAATAATTTCCATTTTGCAGGTTGTATACACTTTTGAATGTTCTGGAGTTTAACAGCTCCAGAAAACGGATGTCTGTAATTGTGAGAGATGAGGAGGGAAAACTTCTACTACTTTGCAAAGGTGCTGACAGGTTAGTATAAACTAAACCAAAATTTTGAGCACATCAACAACATTTATTTCCCTTTTAGTTGCACTACAATATCATCATAATCTTTTACCCTATGCAGTGTCATGTTTGAAAGGCTGGCCAAGAATGGTCGTGACTTTGAAGAGGATACTAGGGAGCACATTAATGAGTATGCAGATGCAGGCCTGAGGACACTACTACTGGCCTATCGTGAACTTTCTGAAAATGAATACAATGTGTTTAATGAGAAATTCACTGAGGCAAAAAATTCAGTTAGTGCAGATAGTGAAACATTAATTGATGAGGTTGCAGACAAAATTGAGAGGGAGCTAATTCTCTTGGGTGCTACAGCTGTTGAGGACAAACTCCAAAATGGGGTAGGGTGGAATAAATAGAGTATAATTTAATCTTCTTGGAGGGAGGGTGGGGGACTGATATATTTCTTTTATTCTACTTAACAGGTTCCTGACTGCATTGACAAGCTTGCTCAAGCAGGGATTAAGCTATGGGTGTTGACTGGAGACAAGATGGAAACTGCCATCAATATTGGGTATGCTTTCTGGGTATGACTTTTTCTGTTTCTGCTAATGGTAAAATGTTCTTTAATTTGCTCATTTTGATTGCTAACCTGAATTTATAAATTTGCAGCTATGCTTGTAGTTTGCTTAGGCAAGGAATGAAGCAGATTATAATCAATTTAGACACTCCAGAAATCCAGTCATTGGAAAAAACTGGACAAAACAATGCCATCACCAAGGTAAAATGACTTAAAATTGTAGTTCTTAGAGCTTCTTTTATATCTATATGGGAACGACATGAGCAACTTCTTTTGTATGATATAATGCTGCAAAGCATGAGTAGTTAGCTTGCGTAACTGTTGACATCATTCGCTCTAATGAACCTATTAGGCATGTATATCTGTTGAATAATTAACAGCCATGCTTACTTTGGCTGCTTTTAAAGAAATTATTAGCTTGTCTTATAACTAGATTCTGCCGACAAGTTGAATTCTGAGGCTGCCTTTCCAACATAACTTGGTTAAATTGTACCAAGTGCTGGCTGTTTTTTATGTCCTTCTTTATATAAAAATATAAGGAGATGGATTTGATAGACAGTGCTTACTTAATCTACAAGAATTGACAACTAAATTCAATTGATACGTACATTTTAAAAGAAAAGAAAAACTTTGTCTCTGCAAAGCTACTGAGGTAGAGAAAGGACAATATACTATAGAGTGAAGGGATTGTTGAATCAATATCATTTCCTGAAAGAGCAGAGCAAATTCTTATAATCCCCATCCCATCTCCCTCTCTCATAAGATGGGTTAATTCTCATTAATCTCTGAATTTGTCATAAGAAGTAGGTCTAAAGAACAGCAGGAATTTATACCATGACTGGTGTGTCGAGTATTATATGTTCCTCATGCTTCTGTTTATTTGTTTTTTTCTCTATTACTGTTATTAATATTTTATGGTGCACGGAAATTGTGTGGTACTAGTACTTTTTTATGAATTTTATGCTTTGTGTGTCTGTATATGTATGTGTATAATATATGTAATATATTAATGGGATGATTTTCTTTTAGGCTTCAAGGAAAAGTGTCCTTGAACAGATAATTCAAGGGAAGGCTCAGCTCACTGCATCAAGTGCAAGGTCTGAAGCTTTTGCTTTGATCATTGATGGGAAATCACTTTCTTATGCTCTAGAGGATGATATAAAGAATATATTTCTGGAGCTTGCCATTGGTTGTGCATCTGTAATTTGCTGCCGCTCTTCACCAAAACAGAAGGCACTGGTAGGATTACAACTTTTCCGCGATTTACTGTTAACAAGTCAATTTTGAGTTCATTCTTCATTCCCCTTCCCTTTCATCAGTTAGTCTTTGCTTCAAGTAATTGTCTGTTTTAATGACAAAACTGAAATTCATAGGTTACAAGACTGGTTAAATCAGGAACTGGGAAAACAACGTTAGCTATTGGTGATGGTGCTAATGATGTGGGAATGCTTCAAGAAGCTGATATTGGAATTGGAATCAGTGGTGTGGAAGGGATGCAGGTATTTATAATTTAATATTCACTTTTAATTTGACAGGGATGCTAAGAAAAATACTGAAAGCATTGTAATTTGTAACTGTTGAAGGATATTAGAATCTCTTGAATGATTTTTTGTGCTCACGAACTCCTTTTTTCTTATCATTTTCTTTCTTCTGATGCAGGCAGTGATGTCAAGTGATGTCGCAATTGCTCAGTTTCGATATTTGGAACGCTTGCTACTTGTGCATGGACATTGGTGTTACAGGAGAATTTCATCTATGGTAGTAATGCGTGCATTTGTTGCTTTAGTCACTAGTCATTCTTCAAATTATTAAAACAATTTAATAAAACTAGAGGTTATCGATTGACAGACTGCTTTGACTTGCATGAAAAGGTTATTCCTTCAAAGCCTGACTGCTTTTATTCTTCTGTTGCCAGATATGCTACTTTTTCTACAAGAATATTACATTTGGTTTCACAATCTTTTTATACGAGGCATATGCATCGTTTTCAGCGCAACCTGCCTACAATGATTGGTATTTGTCACTGTTTAATGTATTCTTCTCATCAGTTCCAGTAATTGCTATGGGAGTTTTTGACCAGGATGTATCTGCACGCTTCTGTCTCAAGGTGGGTCTTTGATTTCTGTTTTCTGGCCTTTATTGAACATATTTGGGTTTCTTAGCAAATTATTATGAAACCTTTGTTAACTGTTTTGTGCTGTTTTATGGCAGTTTCCTCTGTTATACCAAGAAGGGGTGCAGAATGTTCTCTTCAGCTGGCGCCGCATAGTCAGCTGGATGTTTAATGGGTTTTACAGCGCCATAACCATTTTCTTCATGTGCTCGAAAGCATTGGAGCACGAAGCATTCAATCATGCAGGAAAAACTGCTGGTAGAGAAATTTTAGGGGGAACAATGTACACATGCGTAGTCTGGGCTGTGAACCTGCAGATGGCCCTTTCAATTAGTTACTTCACCTTAATACAACATATTGTCATCTGGGGCTCAATTGCATTCTGGTATCTGTTTCAGTTGGTATATGGTGCCTTGCCTCCCAGTTTTTCAACTAATGCTTACAAAGTCTTCATTGAAGCTCTTGCGCCAGCTCCTTCATACTGGCTCATCACACTTTTCGTTGTGATCGCAACCCTGATCCCATACTTCTTATACTCGGCAATTCAGATGCGCTTCTTTCCCATGTATCATGGAATGATACAGTGGATAAGGCACGAGGGGCTGTCAAATGACCCGGACTACTGTGATATGGTGCGCCAAAGGTCCATCCGCCCAACAACTGTGGGTTTCACAGCACGTAGAGCAGCAAGGGTGTACCAAAGATAAGCATCACATGAACACAGATGATATTAGCTGTATGATTCCTGTGGATGGTGAGAATATGCCCAAACCTGAAATTCTGCCTGCAGGACATGAATTATACGACAGGGGGCTGTCAGTCTGTTAAACTAGAAGGTTGCATAAGTAGGATCAATCACAGACAGACATTGTACAGAAGCAAAATTCAGTATTTTACATGTGGATGGCAGAAACATAGAGCATCTCCGTCCCGGATATTGTAAATTTTGAGTCTCTGCCGTGGGGGCAACTTACCATTTTCCCCCACTTTTTGTACCATAACTCTTGTATTTTAGACAAAATCGTAGGCATTGCATGAGCTAGAAGAGCGGTTATAGGTTTAGAGTTAGAAATAGTGCAGCTGTTTCAGGCTCAATTTTCATTCATATGTTTAATGAATCAATTCTTTTTTGTGATTAAATAAGTGTAAGGTTCTTTTTTCAATGAAAATTTGTCTCAAGTTCGATTGTATTCTTCTATCTTTGTTGGTTGCTCAGAGATGCCATCTGTATTACTGTTCATTTTAGCAATTGCATTTAAAAAAGCATCCACATTTTTTATTCAAGGATAAACATAAACAGTGTTGGATAATTTAATACCCTTTTTTGTACAAAAATTGATGGGGAGCCAATATATTATTATAGTAGCAAGTGGGAAATGGGTGGGTGGATAAAACCTAGTTTCATGGCCACATCTTGACAATGAAATACCCGCGACTTAAGTCAGACCAATAATTCCCATATTGCAACTTGTTTCTGTGATCAACCAGATATTTAATTTGAGACGATGACTCAGCTCCCAAGTCCTCCTCCCTCGAGATCAATCATGTCCCATGTTCATCACTGATGGTATGTGTAATGATCAAAGAACAAAATGCAAACAGGTAAAAGCAAAAGAGAGAGAGAATATTGAAACTAATTTCAAGTCAATTGGGTTGGAAGAATCACGTAAATCATCAAACCATGAACACAATTCCTACCAATCATCCTCGTTGACATAAATAGCTACATGTATTCACAGAAACAAAAAGACTAATGATGCAACATGGGATCCGGACGATGAATCAATTAATTGACTTTAATGCCAAGAAAATCCGCAGCCGATTTTGCCATGATGTTTGCAAACTCGTTGAAACTTATGACGCCATCTCCATCGGTATCGGCCTCTCTCATCATCTCCGTAAGTTCACGGTACGTCAAGGGATGCCCCATCTTGGACATGGACCCTGCAAGCTCAGCCGCGGTAATGAATCCATTGCCGTCCCGGTCAAATGATCGGAAAACCTCCAACAACTGCGCCTGGTTGATCAAAACCTGCTCGCTCATGTCGGGCATAATGGCATTGACCAATTCATCGAACTCGACAAAGCCATTCCCGTTAGCATCCATGTTGTGTAGCAAAATGTGGAGTTGGTCACCGCTCGGCTTGAGGCCCAAGGAGCGCAAGAGAGCGGCGAGCTCAAGGTGCGTGAGGCTGCCATCGGAATCCATGTCGAACCGCATGAATATGTCTTTGAGTTGGTTGAGTTGGGGCTGGGATTGGTTGGTGGTCATGGTGGGCCTGAGGGTTAGAGATATTAGGGAGGGGATGAGAAGGAGAAATTATTAGGAGGAAGAAGAAGAAGAAGAAGAAGAGAAAAGTCAAAAAGAAAGAGAGGAGGAGAGATATGCATGTGGATGTGGTGGTTGGTTTGTTAAGAGAAGGGGAAGGCGTGGCGTGGGGTGGGGTGGGAAAATTCCAATTTGGAATGGTTCAAAATGGAAAGCGCGTTTTTGTTTTGAAAAGACAAAGGGGAGGGGATCCAATCCATACCATTGCTGTCTGTTTTGTCTTAAAGTTCAACTCGTGAGAGCACACACATGCATGCGCTGGGACAATTATTGGACCCCACCGGCGTCTTTCTTCCAAACTTTAATCTTGTTTAATTATTTTATCACCCTTTGCTTCTCAAACAATATGCAACCTTGTTCTGCTTATGGATAACTTTAGTGCTAAAATATGTTTCATCATGTCAAAAGATGAAGAAATGCTTTTATCTCATCTTACCTGATTAAGCCTGGCTACCCAAATTGCATCCTTAAGCGAGTGAAGGGGCACTGCTTGCTTGAGGTAAAATTGCATCCTGGAAACAGGTATTTTGGTTTTTAGCACACATTGCTAGTGTTACCCCTGCCGCCCTGAATCAAAATCTAAAGCACATTTTTCGGTCTCATGCACCCCAAAGAACCATTTTCAGTTGATTCATCACACTGTACAAAAATTAATACTGTCAATCAAAGCCCTGATTGATTGGCTACACCTGATGAGGACATTCCCTGATGATGTCTCTCATCTGCCCCAAAAGCTTCCGAATGCAAACTCTCCTTTCTCAGACAACTCTTCCAACACCTTCTCAGCCTCCTCTATACAACATGCAAAGCCATGGCCTTCACCACCAGTACTGGCAAGACCTTCTGGTATTTCTATACGTACGGAACTCCTGTGTATTTCTACAGCCTCATCGTGGAATCCACCCTTTACCCTCTCAGTCCTCGGCCTCCCCTTTCGCCCCCGTCCAAGTTTCTTCTTAGCATATCCTTTCGTTTTCCGAATTAGTTTGCAAGGAAGTTTGAGCAAGACGAAGATGACCATTTGGAGAATCAAGCATTGGCTGCAGCAACATATGACAATACAATCAGCTACCAGCATGTTGCAGTCCTCCATTGCTGTGAAAGGTGGAAGAATAAGGAAGAAGGTGGTGAAGGAAATAAAATGCCTGCAGAAAGTAAGTCATGGCTTGATAAGGAATCAGTTCCTTCTCCTCACGGGGAGGTTTTATGAAAGGTAAAGCAAACAAAAAGTGATGTGTGGCATTGGCAAATTTAAAAAGGGCGGCAATCGGCCATGACTTAAGATTACATATTTTTGCATTACCAGAAGCATAGACAAGTTCTCAATCTGGAAAGAGGAAATCATCGCTTTCCCGAAAAGACAAGGAACAAGAAACCAACAAAGACGCAATCAAATATAATATGTAGACTATTAGAAGTTAAGGAAACCATGGCTGTCCAAATCAAATTCCTTAAATTCTTCTGCGAAGCTGTCATAAAGCTTGTCTTCATAAAGAACGGCGCTTTCGCTTGTTTCTGATACAACAAAAAGGGGCCTAAACTACAATATCTGATATACGCTCTCCATTTCTTGTAATCTCATTAGTCAATTCAGTTTTTCCATGCTTCCTGTGAAATATATATCCCTAACTGTCAGCAGACATACATGCATATGATCTCATTTATTGTAGCCAGGAAGGAGAAATTAAGCTTGGAGATAAGGGAATAGATGGGTTTTTTTTTTTTTCTCTTTTTATTTGTTTTGTTTTATTAGAAAGAGGATTTTACTAGAGATAAGGGAATACATGAGCACAACACTAGAACTAACTGCTCACAATGTTATCTGCTGGTATTTTGAGGGAAAATTTGAAAACAAGCTTTATTATAACCCCAACGTCCATTGGTTGGAACAAAACTGGCATGGACTAATTACAAGCCAAAAGAATTTCAGTAGAATGGCCGAAAGGGGGAGAAAATACATAAATGATACATGTTGAAAGCTTTTGGAGGGTCTAAAAATTGTCTCTCATCTGGTGTTGTCAATTTCCAGAGATGGACAAATTAGTATGTTTCAGCTGAAAACCTCCGTCGTTAATTTGAATTGAAGTCCAGCTCAGCTTGCAAACCCCCCGGGTTTAAGATGAAATGGCCTCTCAATATTTACCATGTTCTTCTTCAACTACCCCCGCTATTCTCGCTAAAATAATCTGTACTATAATTTTGACTACCAAAAGCCATCCTCTGAAACCATCTGATTTCTTCAGATTGCTGCGCAGAGTTATATACCTCGCTTTCACCCACTCTCATTCCATTGGTTAGATCTGATGTGGCCAAACTATCAAAAGCTCTCACAACCTGAGAAACATAACTAGAGTAAGAATGATGTGACACTGACAATAACTCCATATGGTTCTAATATTCAGACTCAGAGATGGGAAAAGGGAAAATAGAAGAAAGACTATTCACTTGTTCAGTACCAAACTTTTACTACCTGTCCCATTCGTGGTCTTTTCGCAGCTGAATGCCGCACACAAGCTGCAGCAGCCTCAATCATCCGAAACATTTCACTTTCAACATAGTTTCTGCCAAGCTTTGGGTCTGACAAACCCTCAAATTCCTCACTATCCAGTGCATGATTCAGCAAAGGCCGGGCCTGAAGCATGAAGTGCATTTTCCATGAGCAAAGTTTTAGTTATTTCTTTAGCATACTCTGATGTCTTTCACTATTTTTCTTGTTCTCATGTCTATTACATGCACGTATGTGTATATGCATCAAATTAGAATAAAAAGCAAACTTCAAGTAGATAAGTTGTGAACAACTCCATTTGTTATCCATGACTCTCTTAGTGAAAGGACAAATCTTTTGTTTCAACTACCTAGGAATTATGAAAAGATTTTCTCTAGCATTTGTGATTGAGAATTCAGGAAAAGAGCTTCGGAATCAATTCGTTACGATAGAGTAAAAAGGCACTTCAATTTCAAAAGCCCGCAACTAAGGTCTAAAAGAATCCACAGCATTCATTATCCTTGTAAACAACAACAAATAGAAGAAAATTTTTTTCTTTTGCCCTTCTTCTAGGTCATAAGAATCTATATAATGCAACATAAAAAGGAACCACATTCTAAATCAACCCTTTTAATCTGTTACCAGAGAAGTAACAAACTTTACCAAAAATAATTTGACACTCATTGATTTACACTAGAATGTATGATGAATTATTTTACAATATTGGGACTGGACATTAATGAGCGGTTAAATCAATAAATTACCCATTCAACTAGACTTTCATCTCCGAGGGGTTGAGATGCATCTACAGGCTTCCGTCCAGTAATTAGCTCCAAAAGCACGACTCCAAAAGAAAACACGTCAGATTTCTCAGTCAATTTACCACTTGATGCATATTCAGGGGCCATGTATCTGAACAACCAATGTAAAAATGGTTGATGTATATATTGTTAATAAGAATGAAAAGTTATACCTTTGGCTACTATATCTCAAAAACTAGTAGAAATGACCTATGAGCCCTCCTTAAACATTAATATTGTCAATGGTTAAGAGCCTACCCGAAAGTTCCCATAACACGTGTAGTTACATGTGTATTTGCATCCAGAGCTAACTTGGCAAGTCCAAAGTCCGAAACCTGTAAGGTAGATTAGAAACTGTAAGACCATAACCTAAATTAAGGCAATAACAGCTGAATGTAGCTTGAGATGACGTGGGAAAAAGAAAAACATGCATACCCGAGCTTCAAAGTTGTTATCTAAAAGAATGTTTGATGACTTGATATCCCTGTGAATTATACGAGGATGACCTGACATTGAACATGCCAAACAATATAAATAACAAACCTTGACAATTTAATCAACCAACAAAACATTTGACTGTTCATTTGGAAAACAAAGATTAGAAGGAGAAAAGAAAGATGTTTCTGCAAATGTTGAACAGGGTAAATTCTGTATATGCACTACTACAAAGAGAGTTCTGTGCTGCAAGGGACACTTGGAGAGAGTACACTCTCCATAAAGGTTACATCATGGACAGCAAAAGAATCAAGGATGGATGACTGATCCTTCCTTTTCTAAACCAAGCCGAAAGAACATATCGTTTACCTAAAAGAAGAAGATGGCCAGTGATGAATTTGCCATCTACTTCTTGCTTGGAATAAGTTAAAGAATAACTGCTTCCTTTTTCTTTTTCTTTTGGTGTGTAATAAAAGCCTGTTTGATCTCACTATGTATAACAGATGCTGATCTGTGGCCAAACTAACATGCCATTATGTCAAGATACCATAGTGTATTCCCTCACAGAAATTTTAGAGATTAAGTTAAAAATGGCAGACATTAATCTGTTGCAAAATGATAAGTACATAATTCTGGAAAACTAGATATTCCCTTTTTAAGTATTTTGGAAGATTCCAGTGTCAGAGGTGATTGTTTCTTGGCAATCAATCTGTGAAAGGAAATACTTACAGTCCTCATGGAGATAAGCTATCCCACGAGCAGCGCCTGCAGCAATTTTAACACGTGTTGCCCAATCCAGAACACCCCTACATTCTCCTGCCGAAATGAGGAGCAAGACATGTCAGATTAGCAGTCCGGTGCACTGAATCAATTCTTCGAAGCTCAGTTATGGCCTTACCATGAAGATGGAAATAAAGGGTATTATTAGGGACATATTCATATATGAGCAATCTTCGATTCTCAGAGATGCAGTAACCCACAAGTGAAACCAAATGACGATGGTGTATGCGACTAATAATTGCAACCTCAGCTTTAAATTCTCGCTCTCCCTGCCCCCCACCAATTTTTAACTGCTTTACTGCCACTTCTCTTCCATCTAGTAAGAACCCTTTATAAACAGCTCCAAATCCACCTTCACCCAAAAGATTTTGCTCTGAAAATCCATTTGTGGCCTTGGCTAATTCTTCATATGTATACAATGACCTTGAATTGCCTAAACCGCCAGGTTCTGGCATCAGAGGCGGTGAATGCACAAAATCACTTCCAGAACTACTTCCAATAAGAGGAGCTGAGGAGTGTGTCTTCGTAAAGAATGAATCTAAAAGCATGGTAATATCAACGATCAAAACATGAATTTAAGTTGATATGCTCAAATCTAAAATTTTACCAACAATAATCTAAGCAAATGAATAAATAAAAGGAGTATAAATAAATAAGCAGCTAGATCCAATGCAACCTTTTTCTTATTTGTGCAATAAACTGGATAGTATCCTAGTGCCAAGTATCTTTCATGTTATTCAACATTCATCAAGTTAAAATCGTAACAAATCTATCACTTGCTGTATTCTTTTTCCCTTTTTTCCCTTTCTTTTCACACAATAAGCAGCATCTGAATTCGCACTTAGGAAATGGATATGGATTTATCATATTATGGATGGAGGGAATCAAAGCTTGAAGGATAACTGAAAGATCCCGAATTGAATAGGAGGTCCAAAGTTTTAGAGGAGGGTAAGCAATAACATGCCAAGGAAACAACAACGCAGCTATTAAAAAACCTACCTGATCTGGGGGAAGAGCCAAGTGGGGACGGCATAACATAACCACCGCATTAAGTCGAGTAAGCTTCTTCTTCTGCTTCGTCAAGCACCATACAGCCAGCCCAACGAGGCTAAGCACTATGATCCCTACAGCTACACCAATAGCAACTACACCCCACACCAATGCCATCATTACCAGAGAGTCTGAGCTTTCTGGCGCACTGGGACTGGGAGCATTCACAGTCGGATTATTGGATGGAGGAGGAGGAGGTGATAGTCTTAATACGGATGGTGGTGAAGATGATCTTGAAGTAGAATTTGGAGGTGAAGGTGTTGGTTCAGAATTGGGTGGTGTAAGCTTTGAGGGAGGAGGTGTTGGAGAAGGAGATATAGAAGATGGTGGAGGTGGATTTGGGTGTACTGTCGGTGGAGATTGAGATAGTGGTGGCGGTGAAATTTTGGGAGGTTGTGATGGTGTTGGTGTATTAACAGGTGTGGCGATGATGAATTCGTAGGTGGCGGAGGAGATGGTGGTTGTCGAGGTGGTGGTGGTTGTGGTGATGGTGAAGCGGCAGGTGGTTGAGTAGATGGCGGTGGTGATAAATTTTGTGGCGGTCCGGGTGATGGCCTGGGTGCAGGTGGTGGAGGACTACGTGGTGCAGTTGGTGGTGGTGATGCTGGCGGCGGAGAAGTGGAATTGGACGGAGGGGAAGCGGGTGAAACAGCGGGGCGAGGAGGGGTGATGCAGAGGCCAGTGGGGGTGGAGGTGAAGTTTCAGCAGGAGGTGGTGGTGACGAGGTCACTGGAGGCGAAGCTGGGGTTGAGGAGGTAGAGGCGGAGGTGGTTAGCATTGGACAGAGGGGCGTGGCATGTGTAGAAGGTGCAGGAGGAGGAGAGTTTTGAGGTGGTAGAGCACTGTTAGAAGGTGGAGGAGTGGGAGTACTTGGTGGAGGCGGTGGATTGGTAGCAGAAGGTGGTGACACAGCAGGAGGAGAGGAATTTGGAGGTGGCGATGTGGTTGCCATCAATCTAGTTACCGAATCAAAGTGATGGTTCACTATCAATTCCTATAACTTCACATATACCAACAATCTTGTTCAATCTCATAGAAAAAAAGAATCCTGTAACGAAAGCTTCACAAGATATACATGATCCATATCTAACAAAAGAAAAAACAATAATTCCACTAGTTGTCGCTGATCAAATTGAAATTCTAGGCAAATCCAAACTTCCCAACTTTCAAGTGCCAGCTTATTCAAGCACCAAACTTTACCAAACAGACCACTCTTGCTTCAAAACACAGAAAGCTTCCCGTAGGCACAACAGGCTAACTGTTGATGATATGGGCTTCACCAGCACGATCACAGGAACACTGTTTTGAACTAAAACTCAGGTCAGAAAACACTTGGAAAGCAAAACCCAGATCCTTGACTGAGCAAATGCAGCAAAGCAAACTGGTTGCTTTGCAGAAGAAACACAAATCCCAGAATTCAAAAGACCTTGCCTTTCTAGTGTCTATTCAACAACTGTTGGTCTCCGCGGTGAAATATGTTTGCGATGAGCACACCTGGGACACGGATTGTTGGTCACAAATCCTAAGCAAAATTGACAAACAAGACTAGTCTAATCCGCGGGTTGCGTTTGGTTTTTATTTTTTCTAATCATCATCTTTCAAGTTCATGCTTGGGAGTACGACGGACAAAGAGTACAAGGGTTTAAAAATCATCGAGATTTAATCTAAAATAATGATGATAATATGATGATTGATTCTAATGATATTCAGCAATCCTTGCTTTTTTCCTTATTTTTGATTTATTCAAAACCAAGCGCTGAACGTAAAGCCCAGCTGTTCTAACTTTTGTGATCTCTATTCTACAAAAAACCATGGACTTTTTCTTTCATTTTCCTTTCGCATGACATCATAAGAAAAATTTAGAATACCAACCAAACCCCAAAGTTTTATTAAAATAATCAGATCCCCATCTACGGCTTAAATGCTGATTTTGTCTGCAAACCCCCTTTCATACGATAAACTAATCCTGTAATTTTGACAGTGATGCTATAATTAATAAATCTAAAAGCATATAGTACTTGAATAATAATAATAATGTACAGACTACACTAGATTAGATAAATCAAGGGCATGTTTTGTTGGAAAGAAAAACATACTGGCAGATGCATGATAATGCATGGAATGGAGGCTGTGAGGTGAAAGTGAGAAAGGTGTGCTGGTGGCGGTGCGCTGTGGGCCAAACTTGTCAAAATCTTTGGCACAATCTAAGGTAACCCCAACCCGTGAAATTGTACCCTGCTTGCTCTGCTTACAAGTTTGCAGCTCATTATTATTATTATTATTACTATTCATTCAAATTGAGTACTCTATTTAACAGTTGACCAAATTTTATGTTCAAACATTGCTTTCTATTTCTATTTCTTTTATTGGTAAAGAGTACATCAATTAATGCAGTAGCTTTGTTATCTCTCCATAAAAGTACTCAAGGTCAAGCCACATGAACCGATAGTGTATCATTTGCCAATGCTCCAAGCCTAGCCTAGCCTGCAACGTTGAACTACATCAACTTTGTCTCAGTAGGAACTCTTCTGCCTGCCCAAATCGAAAGCATTCAGGCATTGACTGCACCTGCAGTTGAATTTATTTTGGTTTTTTTTTACTTTTATAGGGCCAAAGAGGAGAGTCTAGGCCAGGGTTTCTCACGTCCCGTCCAAGTCAACCAAGTTTATGCTTGCTGCATTAAATTCTACATAAAGCTTGGGGGTTAGGGGTATGGGAATTTGAGCTTCAACCAAGTTGTGATTTACGTGAATTTGATAGTGCCTTGGATTCTAATCAACAGCCTTTATTTGGAATTTCATTAATTGATTTATGTAGTAAAACTGGGAAGCAAAATATTTGCACGATTCATTACTTCAAAAGTTGTTGGCTCCGTCAACATTTCGGGGGCCACACCACAGGGTGCCCACGCTTTCATCTGTCATCTATCCATTCCAACTTCTGTTAGGACAAGTAACAGGAAGCATCCTTCTCTCGCCTCATGTCTTCGTTGGTACAAGAAAAACACGTTGTAATAAAATGACAATGACATGTTTGAGAGGTTCGACTTCTAGAACAAAGCGCCACGACTTGACTTCTTTGGCCTCCACATTCTTCCTTTCATTTTAGTTTCAAAATCAAACAAGTGTGTTTGGATAATAGTAAAATGCAATACATGTTCGAAGAAGGCAGCAGGTTATAGGTTCCTCTATCTATTTCCAGCATTGGTGAATGATTTTCCATTCTTACAAACAAAAAACTTTCTGGTAACATAAGACTCTACGCATCACAGGATACACTAACCATATCATGCTAGCCTTCCAGGTTCTGCAGCCTTGGCGGTTATGTTAACAAATGACGGAGCCGTTTGCTTGCTTCCAGAGACAGGACAGTTGGACATCCTCCGCTGGTGCCAGAGAAGAAGGTGGCTACACCACGTTTATCCGGTTTAAATTTTGCCACATATCATTTTCCATTCCAAAACGCTTCTCTCTAAGCAACTAAATAAAAATGAAAATTGATCCTAATCCGTCAGATCAATTAGCTTTGTCTGCCAATTGTGAATTTCTCCTTGAATTAATCTCTGCAGCCCAGCTCTTTCCTATTTCGGTCTGAAACTTTCCTGAAAATCAGAAGAAAGTAACAAGAAAAAGTGAATATCACTATCAGTTTAGGAGTAAGTAAGATAAAAAGATGTTAATGGTTTCACTTATTACATCCTGCTTGAAACGAATAATCTACTCTACCTGCAGTTGAAAGGAAAAACTCATCCAGCACCTTCCCATGTTCTGCCATGATATGATAATATCAAACAAAAGAACTTGGATAATTATATAAAAAATTTAAGTTAAAATACCCTTACCCTCTTATGTTTTGATCGAAATTACACACAAATTTATAAAATTTTGAAATAGACACTCTATCCCAAAAAAATATTTTCCGCTGGACACGTAAGTCCAGCTGTTAGTCAATCATTAGGGTTTCTTTTAACTTGCTGGCGTAGCCAAGATAAAAAAATAATTTTATCCTTAATTAATTTTTAAGATTACTATTTTATAATTTTATTCTTTATTATTATTATTTTATTAATTATAAAAAAAGTTCCCATTTGGAGAGCATCGGAGCTCCCCTAGGGAGCCCCGATCAAGCTCCCGAAGGAAGCACCAGTGCTCCTCTCGAGGAGCCTGAGCACCGGCCAGTGCTCCCATCGGGGAGCTGATCGCTGCTCCCTATTTTTTTTTTAAAATATAACAATAATTTTTTAAATTAATAAAGAAAGAAAAAGTATTTTAGTCTTTTTACAATCTCTGTTAATAGTGTTTGCACTTTTGGAGCAAAGTATCCATTTTGAAACTAATGGATCTTTGTGTAATTTCGATCAAAACTTAAGGAGTAAGGGCATTTTACCTAAAAATTTAAATTCACAAACCCTTTCCCACTTTCAGCCATAAATACATAAAGACCCTTACCCATTTCATATTCCAGTGCTTGCAGAATCATTTCAACCTGGATTGTGAAAGCACATAAACTCAATTAAAGCGAGGAAAAAGTAATACTTCTATATTTATCCAGGAAGGTGAGACAACAAATACAAATATTCTAGAGCAGGACTAACACAGAAAGTGAAAATCAGTAAATCACAATGAGTTTGCATTACAGAAACATTACAAGGTAATGCCAATATAATGATCTACAGAAAAGTCCTAGTGCCATGTATGATGCATCTACTGTTTTGTTAAATCCCTGTACCCCCATTCTCCTTTATCCACAAGAAGGTTGTCGAAAACCAAACCCATTAATAATATATACAACAGAAGCTCTTTACAGTACAATACATTACTACGTTCCAAATGCTTCTTATCAGAAAGATCGCATACAAAACCATGCCAATAGAAGTGAGAAAGAGAGAGGGCTGCTTCATTGGTGTAAAATATCCATAATTCAACCATGGTTACCACTTCTAACAACCAACAACCTAAGATATCTCATTTTCAATACAAAATGCTCTTCCAGGAGAAAAACCTTTCTCTGTGCGTGTGAGAGAGAGAGCATGCACACACAAATGAATGTCATCACAGAACATACCTTGTCAAAATCTTTCACAAGATTAGCCTCCAGAGAAGCATTACTTTCATATTCTGCCCACAGTTCTTGGATCTCCTCAGCTGCAGATAACAAAATACCCAATTAAGACAAGTAGATGCAGTTAGTAAGCAATTCAACAATCCAAAATTTCCACATAAAACATGGTTTAAGAAGTACCCCTCATTCCTCCACCCAGAATTTTGCACATTTCAGTTAACGCTGCTTGCTCACGTCTGCTTTTTTCTTCTTTAGGCACACCATCTGATGGTGTTATATCTCCAACAATAGCTGTCAAAATTCAATATCTGAACTCAAGACTCAAATTTGGCCCAAAACGAAAACCTAAAGACTCAAACCATATTTCATGTTATGTATGTCAGTGCAGGTGACATGCACGTCTAAATTTGAAGTACATTATTGATAATGTTTGAAAATAAGGACATAGAAAAGTACCTTCTGCAATGTCATGGACAATTGCTATCTTAATACACCTGTAAAAGGTTAGATGCAAAAAGACATAAAACTTCCCTAAGAAACACCCAACAAAAGCACGTAGGAAATAAAAGTTTTAAAAGAAAGAAAAAGTAAGCATAAAAAATCATATGTCTATCACTAAACTCGTCTCTAGCCTCTTTTCCAAGCTAAATCTGGTCAGAGAAAATAAGACAAGACATAAAGCTAACAGCTAACTCTCCCAAAATTTTCATCAATCACCATGAATGAAAAAAAAAAAAAAACAGATCAAATGAAAAACTTGGAAGTTGATATATTAATAAAGACAAAAGCCTTCATATGATATGACAAGAGTCAACCTTTCTCTATTCACACCAGGAAGGTCACCAGCAATCAAAGCCATCAAAGCCATGCGGTACATATGGTCAGCAATTGATTCAGGACCCTTTATCCCGTGATTGATCCAACCCTTCCTTTTTGTGGTCTACAAGATACAGAACGAAATCAATAATTACAATCTTTCCTTTCCAAGCCAGTTTATACAATAGTATATTAAAAAGGCATGATGCAACGCTAAAAATGAAAAAAAACATGTATTTTTGGCAGTGAGGCTCACATTTCCTCAGTTGCAAAATTCAGCCGATAACTGTAGGAGAGAAAGGTGGGTGGGGGATACTTACAGTTCAAACAAAGAGAATACAACCCTAAAAAATATTACCGTGTAAAATGCACACTTAGGATCATATGGAAATAAATTGAAAACAAGAACTAAAAACCAAATAAAATAGCAATAAATAAGAGCTACCATATCCTTATAAAATCTGTAATGCTTCCAAGTCTTCCATGAATAATTAAAAACCCCTTTCTTAAGGTCAAACCTTGTTCTGCATGCAATGTCAATAATAAAATACACCTCCAAGCCTCCACAGATTTATAAACCAAAATAAAGAAGTAGATCTCTAAAGCTCTTTTTTTTTTTTTGGAAAGTTAGATCTCTAAAGCTCTACCATAAGTTCCTGTTTCGACTTATCAGCCTAACTGACCAAGAGATAACTACAAGCTAGAGTATTGCTAACAAAATCGAAGTACATATATCTTATGCCCAATGTCTATACAAGGCAACATTGGCATAGGGACTCATGCTGCAGATTGTCACACTACTACCATTAACAACGTTGGGAACAGATTTTATGCATATCGGTTCAGATCTATGTCCCACAAACTAAATGGAAAAAGGTGCTTAAACTTTGTGCAGTTATCCTTGTTGTGGAGTTTAAATACGCAGGTATAAGCTCATCTCATTATCTGACAAATTGCGGAATTCAAATACACCTTTATGACTTCATCTCATTCTCCAACAAAAGCTGAGCATTTTAATGGAATCAATCAGAATACTAGAATTCCCTGTTACATACGTTTTCTCACTTGAAGGCTGTCATGAAAGTAAAAACAAAAATGTAAAAGGAATCCTCATGCTTGATCAAAATGAAAAAATGGATAAATTATACTTATTATTCATTCAAGTAAAGATCATTTCGTTTGCTATCCTTTTAATTCTTCGAGCATGCTGTTTACTTGGTATCTAAACAGCAAGATAGAGAGTATCTTTCAGAAATTTCATTGAAAACTCCTTTTATTAGTATAGTATTCACAAAGTCTTAAATTTAAGGAGTACTGGCCCCTCAATCTAAACAGAATTAGGGAATAAGGAAGGAATTAACATGAAAGTGTCTTTATCCTGAGACCGAGACAACAGTGTGGAAAATCAATAGCGCAGCGGTCGACGAACTGGACAACCTGGAGGGAACTCCGGTATTCGACATAATGGCCGAGCTCTCGGAGCCAGGTTTTGAGAATGGACAGACACGAGCCTCAGAGTGGGAACTCCGGTGAAGCAAATCGGTCGAGAGGAGGAGGAAGACGCGTGGCTGATGAAAGCGATCGGCCAGCGGCGACGTCTGAACCGATGCAATGGAGGCGCGCAGTTGATTGACGTATTAACCGCCATTTTGTACGCCGGAGACTGAGATGTTTGCTTTCTTTTCTGGCCTTTTTTTTGGGATGCGAGAAACGGGGGCCCGATTTGGCTGGCTGCCGATTAACTTTGGTCTTAACGCGAAAAAATCAGGCGTTTCTCGCTCTACTACGTAATTCACCACATGACTTATTTTGTTGCTTTTTTTTTAACGAGTTAATGTATAAATGACTAAGGCTTAAGGTAGTTTTCATAAATTATTAAAAATGATTCATGATTTAAAAATTAAAAAAAAATCTTTTAACCGATGAATCACTTATGTAAAATTGATTTGTAAAAATTTAGATCATGAATAGAATCATTCAATAATCTTAATATTGTTTTTATCTATATAAAATAAGATAAGATGATTTAAATCGATCTTAAATTCTATTTATTAAAAATAAAATAATAAATTATGATCCCCCAACAACTTTGTCTGATCAGGGTAAGTTACAATAATTTGCAATTAAAATGCTTTTTTGTTTTAAAAAAACACTAATATATGAGTAGCATGAACCGGGGCGGATATGGATGTAGGCCGGGCAGGAGCCCCTTAGTTTGTCTGGGCTGGGGCAGGGGGCCTATTGATCATTTGCGTAAGCGATGCTTCATCATTGCTTAGGAAATTATGGCATCGACTCACAACCCAGCACCAGCCTCAGGCTGTTGGGTGGAATACATCATCTTAACATTGACAATTAAAGTGAGGTAGGTAATTATAGCCAAAGTAACTTTAAATTCAAACCTCACTCTCCGCTCCTGTATGACAAGCGAAAATCAATCAGAAATCTGTGATTCAAAGAGAGGGAGAAAATGAGTGAAATTGAGAAGAGGGAGGCAGTGAATATTGTTGAGAGCAAAGAATGGTACTTAACAGGCTATGCACCTCAAGGCGTTCCAACCTCTGATCATCTGAAGCTCCGCAGTGTCCCGCTTTCCCTTGCCCTTGATTCCATACCCCCGCCCATGTTGCCATTCAACTCCTCTTCATCTCTATTGATCCTTATCTTCGTACCAGGATGAGCGGCCACGATGATGGTTTATATTTTCCGCAGTTCCCCTTAACCAGGTTCGTTTCATGCTCTACTTGCGTACCTTCTTTTAAGCCAAGAATTACTAGTATCAATGGGTTTGTAAAAATGTACTAGTTTTCTAAATACCGTGCAGGTGATAACTGCTTTTGGAATTGGAAGAGTAATCAGATCCAAGGATGATAAGTATAACGAGGGTGACATTGTGCTGAATGCTTTCTTCCCTGTAGCTGAATATTGTGTCGTGCCTTCTGATGTCCTGATAAGAAAGATTGATCCAGCGGCGGGAGTGCCCTTGCCAGAATATCTCAGTTGTCTTGGTGATTAATCATTTCAATTCTTGGAGTTTTGTATTTGATTTAGTTTCTCAGTACTGATAATATATATATATATAATATATAATAATATATATATATATGATCATGGTTACTACTACTAATGACGGGTGTACGTGCAATTAAAACACAGGGGTTCCTGGTTTTGCAGCATGGGTGGGGATACAAGTGCTGGGAGACCCAAAGCCAGGCTCAAACGTCTTCATATCAGCGGCTGCAGGTGGTGTAGGAATGTTTGCAGGACAGTTGGCCAAGCTCAAGGGTTGTAGAGTCATTGGAAGCAGCGGATCTGATGACAAGGTACGTACTCCACGCAAAATATATATAATATATATTTGCTTCTCAATGATGAGTTTATTATGTGGCTGAATCTGAAGTAGCACAAAACTTTGGTTTGTATTTTATTGTCATTAAAAAGGGTTATTTCTTGACAAAAATATCATATCAGCCGCTAATCTGTTGGAAAAAGTAGCACCAGCACCGCCATATATTTACCAGTGACAACCATGGACAAATTAATGTGTCATTTATCAACAACCAATTATCACCGAATGCAATCAGAATGATGATGAGTTGATGACACAGGCTGTGTTCTTTGAAATGGGAATTTGGCCATGGAATATAGAAGAAGGGTAGTATTTTAGTGGCGTACGTGGAATGCTTTTCCTAGTTGAGATTGTCCGCCAGTAGCAGAGTCTTACTCTTTAGCTATGGTGGAAAAGGAAAAGTTTGTCGTCGTTTAGGGGAAAAATAAAAGAGGATAGGAGATATGCAAGCATGATGTTGGTGTTACTTTTTTCTTCTTCTTTTTGTTTAGGCTACAGGGGGGTTGGAGAAGGTGATAGGGTTACTCCATATATATTTCCTGAAGCAAGCAGACAAAACTTTGAAAACTTTTGTTTTTGATATTTGACGATATACCGAGGTGGAAGTGGAAATCATTACATGTAAGGAGCATAATTATGAGTTGGGAAGCGGGAATCATTAATATTCTCAAAGGTTTAGCACTTTGCAATCCAAAGTAATTGGCACAAAGATGATAGACAACCAGAACAATCCAGTGATTCCATAGATATTTTACCTATCTTGGTGGTTGACTATTTATTTCATATGTAGAGAGAGAGGAAAGATATAACGGTAATTAAATTTTTAAGAAACAAACAAAGGTACTACTGTAGTTTAAAATTTTTTGATGCAATATTTTAAGTCACATTAACTTGAGATGCAACGACTTGTGCATAACAACCGTTAGAGGAACCTAGCTATAAACGAATTTTTAGTTTGGTCATTTGGGTATATGCATGCAAGTAACTGAATCGAGACAGAGGGCCTAACATCTTTTTGTTTTGTTTATATATATATATATATAGGTAAGGCTCTTAATGGAGGAATTCGGGTATGACGACGCATTCAACTACAACAAAGAAACTGATCTTGATGCTGCTTTGAGCAAGTAATTGATTCATCCATAATACTTTATGTGTAGAGTTTTGAGAAATGAATCGACATCTCTCCTGTAACAGTCTTGATCAATGGTATGTAGGTACTTTCCTAATGGCATTGACATTTACCTTGACAATGTGGGCGGTAAGATGCTTGAGGCTGTCCTCAACCACGTGAACCTTCACGCAAGGATTCCAGTTTGCGGAATGATTTCTCAGTATAACCAGGTCTCTCTCTCTCTCCATATATATATATATATATATATTCATGCATGGATTATGGTTGGAAGGTTGGTAAATACACTGATGAAAACTTTGATTTGCATGCATGCAGACTTGGACTGAGAGAGAGGGAGTCCGAAACCTACTGAATGTTGTGGGTAAGGAGGTCAGAATGGAGGGGTATTTGGTGGGTTCGTATTTGGACAGATTTGCAGATTTTGCCAAGGAGATGGAGACCTATATAAAACAAGGCAAAATAAGATCCAAACTCAAGATGTATCCAGGGATTGAGAGCTTTGCGGACAGTATAGGATCCCTTTTCTCAAGCTCAAATATTGGGAAAGTCATCATCCAAGTTAAGCCCTAGATATATATGGCTAGTGTTTCCTTTCGTCCTTGCTCCTAATTAATGACCAGGAACAATATTGAATAAAAGAGGGTTTGTTCTAAGAAATAAATAATACACATTGTGTGGTTGCCCTTTTCTTCTTTTGGGAAACATTAATGTGTTTAATAGCGAGGAAGAAAACTGGGAAAGCAAATGAAAGGAAAGGAAGGAGATTGTTTTTAATTCCTTTCACCACTTCACTGCATGCCCTTATTGCCTATTCCGCAAGGGATTAATTAGTGTTAATCTATCTACATACTATAGACTATAGCCAGCGATGGAGATTTTAAACTCTACAAAAAAAGTTAATATGGCTTGGCATGTTCATTTTTCTAATCTCTTTTACAAAGTTTAAAAACTCAAATGCATTGATGTATAAGATATATAATATATTTTTTACGATTAGCAATTTTAATATGTATAAGTAGGTAAATAATAAGAGATTAAGGAAATAAATAATGATTAAAATTGATACATATATAGATGAATAGTTTCTGAAATTAGTTTGATTCATGACTCGTTTTTTTTTTTTTTGCTTTTTGTTTTTGAATTTACAATACAAAGGTTAGGTATTGGGATATGATTTGTTTCTTATATGTTAAGAAAATAATGAATAAAATTGTTTTGACAAAGATTATGTTAAAAAAAAACATGTAAATCATGTAAAAATCAATTAAAGAAGATATTTATAAAAAAGTAATTAGTATGAATCCGAAAATAATTAAAATTTAAATTTTTAAATAAAAGATTTGCACAATTATTATTGTGTATATATTTAAATATATATGTTATTGTGTACAATTATTTACAAAGTGGAGTCCTTTATATTATTATTTGTAGTAGTAATATAAAAAATAGAGAACACTTTGGGACTAACGAAAAAAACTATAATTTTTTTTAAAAAAATTATGTGACTTACTCGATCTCTTTTATCCTTAAAAGGGAAAAAGAAATAAAAATAAGGAGTGCTTTACTGCGAACCTCACATTACATGAGGCCGAATATGTGGATCCTCTTAGCCGAGCCGGACTCCTAGCAAAGTGTGAGTGTATTGAAAGTAGAATCAAGTCAAGTCCCAATGACAAGAAGGCAAAAGCAAGGAAGACTGAGAGCTAGGAGCCGCAGAATTTGCGATTGATGGTATTGGTTGTTACTAGGATTTACACTCTGCTGCTGCTTCTTCTTCTTCTTCTTCCTTTAATTGTGGCCTTCCATTCGTAGCTGCTGCCAAAAGTTTATACAGTACTGCTGCTATTTCCTGTTTTATTTATTGGGCACCAGTATTGAAACAATTTTCGGTTTGCTAATTGGTCAGGGCCGGATGATTATAAAAGGACTCTTCAGAAGATATGAAAGATGGAACCCGGTGCATCCGACGTGCGGTGCCTTTTGGGGTATGGGAATAGGCGTTGGATGTGGTGTCGGATGGGGTCCTGGGTTTGGCCCTGAGGTCATCGGTTATGTCGGAGCTGGCTGCGGGATTGGATTTAGTGTGGGCATAACGCTTGCTGGTATTGGCATTGGTCTTCCTGCAAATTTCCTCTGTCAAGTTCCTTACAATGGTATTCTCTCCTCTTTCTATCTAACTGACTATATCCTTTCTCTTTGCCTATAAAGACTATAGAAATCTTCATTGGTGTTGGTGTACTTCTCTTCCAAATTGACATGTTGCTTCTGTTCCAGCTTTTCTAACAACCACAACTGGGGCACTGGATCTTGCCCGATCCTGCGGTCTTTCCTCTTCCAAAATTACTCCTGGTCTTGGCTGGAATACTTTTGCACCTCACGTTTCTGTCCTTCAAAGAGAAGCCACTGGAAGATTGTCAAGCATGTTGCGTCCCCACACTAGTTCTATTTGGGATGGTTTTGAAAGATTTTACGGTCGGTTTTTCCACCCTCGCAAAGGTATCCTCAAAAGTTCCAACTTTGTAGAAAGTATGACCTAATTTGTGTAGATTATTATTAAAAGGGATAACAACTTATGGCATGATCCTTTTCTCCAATTCTTTATATTGTTTCTTATAGCAATTTCTGCTGTTGTATATAGTACTTCTTTTCTCTGTTATACCATGTTTGCAAAGCTACTCTCTTTGGCTCGATGCCACACAGTTTTAGACCGTCTCCCTTGGTTATCTCATTCCCCTTTGCTTAAGTGTTGAGTTTTTAACATCAAACTCGTTTTAGTTTGTCATTTGATGCCGGCTAATTTTATTTTGTGCATGTCTACCGCCCAGAGTTACCATTCTGAATTTGGTATTCACTACACTAAACTGGAAATTCCTGTTTTAGGGGTGCTTTTGAAAATCATTACTAAATTGATGTAATTAGCATGACATATCTAGGAACAGAACAGTACAAAGTTCTGCTGTTGTATACCTTTTGAGTCACATCTTTCTGTCTCATTCCATGACTAATGCTATTGATTTGGTTGGTCCTAGGGTCTCTGCTTTGTTTTAGCAATTCAATGGCATTTTTGAGTTGCTGATTGAAGATGCTCTCTTAACTCACTAATTCTGCTCTAAAAGTTTAAACTCAAGCATGTCAAGCAACCTGATAGCTATTGGATCAGGTTTAATAGTTCTGAGATTGTTACTAGGGAAACGAGCAGAGAAAGGTAATATTTCTTTGGACATATGGTTTAACTTCTCTGTTGCATGTAGGTTGAATCTCTTTACGAGGGCTACACAGTTTTCTTATATTACTCCAGAAATCTGAAACATTTCCTGAAAATTTTTAGATTAAGGAGTCTTTGGGGTTGTAATTGAGCAAATACTAGTCATTTGTGGCTCAGTGACTGGGATAATTTCAATCTTTGAATCATCAGAGAGAGAGAGAGATTTGTTCCTCAATGACCGAGATAATTTCAAGTTATGAATCAAATCCTAGTGAAGCCAGAACAATAAGTAGTTACTTTGATTTTTGGACCATTCCTTGTGTTGTAACGGCTTTGCCCTATGATTTTGGACACTGACGTGAGTGTCATGCTTTGACATGTTTTGATTTGGACATAATGTGAGAGGGAGAATGCGCAAGTGAGCAAACAAAGCTTTTGTGCCTCAATGATTGGTATAATTTCAAATTATGTATCAAATCTACTGTCGCCATCGGAGAAGTATTTGTAGTGATTATTACCATATCTTGTTTTGCATATAGAATGTAAAAGTATATCATTGAAGATTCTTTTACATATTTTTTATCCCAAGTACCTTCACAGGCACAGGTAACAAATAATATCATCAGAAAACTCATGATGAAGAGTGACTAGTTCCAATAGAATGCATCATCAGTTGATAGTGCAGTTGGAGCATGTATGAAGGGCCATTCTACTTCAAGTGGAGAACCTTCAGGGCAATTCGTACACACACTGCTTTCTCGTAGGAAATCAACAGACCCATGAGCTATGCACAAAGGCAATATATAGGTGGTGGTAGTTAACTGAAGTTTATGTTTCTTATACTTAGTTAATCTTACTGTGACATTACATTTTAGAGTAGCAGATAGTTAGTATCTTAAGTGCTGATTTTATGGAGTAAACACGGCTTACAGAAACTTGACCTTTGGATCTTTTTGCTCTCATCTCGTTGTCTAATGTATTGTTTGTTTACATGGACGAATATGTCCATTCAATTGTCACAGTTGAATTTCTCTTAGTGCTTTTCTAATATGCATATTTATATGTATGATTGATGATGATGGAACTAGTTACTGATGCATTCACACTTTCTTGCAGGTTTAAAAGATTAACTGCTATATAACCAATTGCGAATATGACTAAATGGTACAATGGCACAGTGCATTTTCCCCGTGGGATAGCACCTGCTACATGAAGACCAAGTTTGTAATGTACTAGCAATTGTTTTTTTTTTTTTAAAAAAAATGATATTATATGTACTAGCAATTGTTGCCGGAGATAAAAGACATTGGCTAAAGATTTTTTGTTATCTTTCTGGCTTTATATTAATGTATTTTATCCCTTACCATTCCCGTCATCATGTTTGCAATTCTTTACCTTTGGCAAGTTCGGGCTTTTTTATCTTTACTTGTGTAAGTTATTAGTATTTTCTTACACTCGTATTCATCTTCGATTAGAAAGCCTTAAATGATAATTGAGATCATAAGAAAGGAAAAAAAAAAAAAGAAGAGGAGATACCCCACTAGTACGTAACTTATTTACTTTATGAGATCATCACCAATAACAATATTGGATTTATTAGACCAAAAACTGTTAATATTTAGTTAAAACAAAAAACCTACAGCTAATGGTAGAAACAAATAAGAAATTTCCTTGCAAAGTCGACCAATCTTTCTTTAGTTATTTACAAAGATGTTTTCCTTTTTTCTCTGTTGTAATTTTGGCAGCAACCGCTATCCATGTGATCACAATTAACAAGCAAAACTAATCTTCCGAGAAATATGCAATGCATTGGGTTGAATTATAATTAGGAGGTAGAAAATTTGTGTGGAACTGACGGGTAGAGTAGAGATAGAAGTCTAGAAAATGAAACTAACTAAAATGTAGAAGGATATGATATGATCGATTTGAGCACAAAAGAAGGAATTAAATGATGCGTGGGTGGTACTGGTGTGGGAAAATGTCTGCTATGGGTGCATGAAATACATGGACACGTCATTGATGCTCGATGCATGTTTCTTCACTCATGCAAATCCTATGGATCCCAATCCCATCCTGGTTAAATTAATAATACACCTTTCCTTGAATTAAGAAACATCTCAACAAGGACCACCCTTTCATGATTTAGTTTGTTTATCTGATGATATATATCTGCCAATAAACGGATCATATTTGATTTTTATATATATATTTTCTTTAAGTTATAGTTGCTTATCAAGTAACGTGTATATTATAGTATTGGAATTGGAGTAGCAAAACAAGAGAAACATGTTTCCATTCACCCATCATCCAAGCAGGTCCGCTGTTGTTGGTGCAGGTGCCATACGAATCATTTTCATATTGCAAGTATTATAAGCTACATCAGAGGGAATTGGGCGATGATAAGGGAAAGATGGTATGCGTGAATCCTGTTTTTTCTCTCTGAAAATCGAGACGTTTCAATACCCAAAATTAGATGATAAGGGAATTTGATCAGCTTTCCACATCCGCCATACCATCATTTCTTCTCTCTTTATTTAATCACCTTAGTGAAGGAGACGACAATTCAATACATACCTATCAAAGTTGCCTCCACGATTAGCAATACTCGTTGCATGCTATACACTGCGTTAATTTAAGACTAAAGCAATGCATGGGATACATGTCCAAGAATTTCACGTAAAAATTAATCACCAAAACGTTCTGGAATGTCTATCAATAAGCATTTCATATTCTAGTCCAATATATAGTTCATACAGCCCTTACAATGAAACAAGTATATTTATCATATATATATATATATATATATATATATATATATATATATATATATATATATATATATATATATATATATATATATATATATACACACACACACACACACACACAACATTAGATAGCATGAAGCAAGGATTACGTTTTTAAAGGGCTAAACCTGACAGTACACCACCTGCATTAGCCACACCCGAATAGCTACTATGTATAGGAAGCAGGAATTCAACCACAAAAAAAGACTGATTAAGATCATATTGTCAGAAACTAGCTAGCATGGCCTAACTACATCAATCAACATTCAACACCGGCGCTAATTAATTAACTTTCTAGTCCTTTTAAGTATAACTGATAGTCCCATATATATTTCCTTGCTAATTAGTAATCCAATGGATTAATTTAGCAAATGCCAGGCATATTTTTCCAACTGCAAGAACCCAAGGACCAATCAAGGTCAGCCGTTGTAGCGGCGGCTGGTGAAACGTTTTGCTGAGCGTCCAGCACCATATTACCAGACGGTGACCCGTTATTAGATATACGAGTGCTCTTGGTGTACCACTCCGGTAGTGGCGTCGATGAGGGGAAATTGTTGAGTAAGCTGTGCAAGTCATCGTCCATGGCATTCATCTCTTCTATGCTTTCATCTCCTGGTTTCAGCCCTGCCGTCCATGTGAAAGGTATTTGAGAAAATTGAATGAATTATCTCGTGATCATATAGAAATGTGCTATCTACCTATATATATAGATCACTTGCACAAATTAAATGATCAATGCCTTTATACATTTCACTTCAAATGCAACTTTAAATGTAGTATCTTTTCGAATCATTCATGAATAAATCAATTAATTCGCAAACCAAATATTATAAATCAGAGCAATAAATTATTATTACTATTATTATATCATATGATATAGACATGAAAAAAACATTTAAACAAATAATATTCACCTATACTCTTGGATGTAGCCAAAACCAAAGAATGATGACCTACCTATTGACGATGGACAGGAGCTAAAGTTATCGCGGTGGGTTTCAACAACGCACTTATTGGCGTCAACTTCCTCTTCCTCGTTCTCCGCATTAGCTGCATCCATAACGCCTTTCTCTTTATCAATCACGAGTGGAAATTCTTCACCATTTTTGTTTCTCTCATTGCGAGACAAAGATCGAGACTCCACCAAGAGAGCATCCAACAAGCCACTACTGCCCTTGAGTTCACAGTAATTGTTTCTGTTGCCTGAAGGTGCAACCAGACAAACACGACCACTGCTTGTATAAGAAGAAGCAGGAGTTGTTGGTCGTGGTGGTGTTTGGGATGAACCAAGGTCTGCTTTCAATCCTGGAACAAAGTCGATTGGCTCAGTTTGAGCTCCCATTAGCAACGAACTGAAGCTTAAAGTGTTGTCAAGACCTCCGGAATCGATGAACTGGAATGATGGTGCTGACAATTGGGCAGTTATGTTTTCGTTACACAAATCTGAGGATGAGGGTAGAAATGGAGAATTCGGGGATAGAGGAAGAGCAAAACCAATGTTATTGCCAGTGTTATGATAGAGCTTGAACTGGTGGCTGAGGTTGGAGTAACATGAAGAGATGGCTTGATTCTGTCCAGCTGATGAGAGATTCATGGACTCTAAGAAGGAGAAAGATGAAATATAATCGTGCTTTCTACCCTGAGAAGAGGAAAGGAAAGATGATAATGAAGAAGAGTTAGGTCGCTTTCGCCCTTGATATTGTTGAATTTTCTGTTCTTGTTCTTGCTGCTGTTGGAGAAGAATCCCAGCGACATCATCTCCTACTTCTTGAGGGTAAATGGGCAGCCCTGCTCTTTGGCGTCTCTTCATTCTCGTATTCCAGTAATTCTTGATCTCATTGTCAGTTCTACCGGGCAACTTTGGGAAACCAAAAAGATGAATTAGAAAAGGGAGGGGAGGGAGAGAGTGAGGAAAGCACAACAAAGGAATTAAAAGGCTAGAGGTGGGCCTAAAGAACTATTAGCAGAAAAGGAAAATCTGATGATGTGTATGAATGAATGATCTCGAAATCTTGTAACTCCATATTAAAGGTAACAATCAACATAGAGAAAAAAAAAAACAGAAAAGGAAAATCTGATGAAGTTTATGAATGAACTAATAACAGAAAAGGAAGACCTTCCAATTTTTTGTAGGGGATGATCGAGTTGTACATACTATGAAAGATGAATGCTGGGATGAGTCTTTTGCAGAACGCTGGTGACTTATCTCAGCATATGGCTCTTTCATCATTTAATCAGAAGAAAAGAAAAGGAAAATCTGATGATGTGTATGAATGAATGAATGATCTCAAAATCCTGTAACTCCATATTAGAGGTAACAATCAACATCAAATGATACTATAAAGAATTTAAAGGATTGAGGGGAGAAATGAAAGAGATGCAAAAACAATGGAAAACATACACTAGTATATAGAGAAAAGTGCATGCAAATATATATTTGTATATACACACAGACATATATGTAATGATATAAATACCTGGGCGGCCATACGAGCCCATTTGTTGCCAAGTTTAGCGTGAAGTTCGATGATGATCCTCTCTTCTTCAGGAGAAAAGGAACCTTTCTTGAGATTAGGCCTCAAATGATTAGCCCACCTCAACCTGCAACTCTTCCCACACCTCATCAACCCGGAATTCTTCTGCACAGCATTCCAATTCCCTTCTCCTTGCTTCTTCACGTACTCCATCAAGATGGCGTCCTCCGCAGCGGTCCATGGGCCCTTTTTGAGGCCATGGCTGATCATCCTATCAGAACCCACACCGCTGTTGCTCTTCATGGGGCTTGCTAAAACCAGTATCAGGCTATCGGCCACCACCAAGCCAATAAGCTAATAAAAATCCTATGCTTATATCAGTTATTGCCTATTTCTGTTGGCTTGGTTTGGTTTGGAAGTTTAAAGCTTTTAAACTGTAAAATAGAAGAGGAAATGTTAATTAGGAGGGATGGAGTCTGTAGTTGTATTACGTAATAAGTGTATGTTGTTTTGAGATTTGATCCAGCTTTTTCATTGAGAAATTGAAGCTTAGAGTAGGGGAAGAGCTTCGTTTGTATGTTTGAGAGTTCTCTCCTCTCTCAGGGCGAGAGAAATGCATGAAAGAGAGGAGAGAGGGAGGGACGGTGGGGGGGAAGAAAGCTCTTGTCTTTGTCTGTAGTTGTATGTAATGACACTTTGTTTCTTACTAGTTTTGTGTTTTTAATACATTGTAGTGTTGGGAGAAATTAAGAAAAATGAAAGTGTAGATTTAGAGAGAGAAAGAGAGAGATGTAGAGAGAGAAGTGTGGGGGCCAGAAAGAAAGAGTTTGTGAGAGCCCACATCCCACGCCCAGAGGGACAGAAACCAAAGGGCTTTGGCATTGGGTTTGGCACACAACCGAAAACACAACTTCAATTGGTGTGAGCTTTGATTTCGCTCCGCTTTGCATGCTTTGTCCTACGTCCTTGGACGCGTTTTCTATTTCTATCACAATTCTGCTTATTTCTAATTAGGTTGCTTTTCTTGTTTTCTCTTTTATTATATATATACATATAATAAATTATATATATTCAACACTGATTTCAAAAGCCATTTACCAAACTCTACTCTAAGCCATCAAATTCTCTTCTGTTATCCAACATTAAATGACTGATCTTTTGGGATAAATCCTTAATTCCCCCTCCATTGTCCAATATATAATTTAATGACTTTCCATTTTCTCTATTATTCACTTTGACCAAATTAAGTTTCACCTTAATCTTTTATTTATTCACTTTGACTATACAATTCCAGAGTCCTTTTATGGAATGGAGAAAGAAGAGATAACCTGCAGTAATTTTCCTCCTTTAATCTCTACCAGACTCCACGGAAAATCATAAAACAGGAAAAGAAATTCATTTCATCATTACCACAGAAAGCGCATCAACACTGATTCATCTAAATAGATGCCCTCCACTTTTTCATTGTTATCACCACTGAACTTGCCTTTCAACAGTAGGTATCAATTCTCCCAGTAGAAGCGGAGTGTTTTCTGGACCTGGCTTCCAATGCTAAGCATCAATCGTTTATGCTTGCCCCAAGAAAGAAACGAAGGTGGATAATTGATAGTTATAACTAGGAAATCAAAAAGTGGGTGCAAACTAGCCTAAAACAGACTAGTCAAAGAGCTCCCTCATTCCATATGCTGGCATCACATAAAAAGGAAGTTGGTGAAACATGAGCAGATCTTCCTCCTTAAACTCAAACGACCAGCAGTCAATAGCACACACGATATGTCAACTAAGACCATATGCCTTAAACTCAAATGAGCAGCAGTCAATAGCACACACGATATGTCAACTAAGACCATATGCCTACTCATAACATGCAATTATAATAGAATGTCATTGTGATATTATGCATTGAAAACAAGGTACCCAAATCCACTACCCATTTTCTATCACTATCTTCAAAGAATTTGTAGTTTACAACAGTACGAGGAATACAGAAATCTGGATGGAACAGAACCAGACCAACAAGTTACCAGTACCCGCAATCTAGCATCTCTTTTTGAACCAAGAAATTAGGCAAGCGTCTCATATACCAAATTCATCTCCTTTGCAAGACATCAAAGGCATGCATCAGATTCATCTGATTCCATCTTTATAAGAAAGTTTTTTCAATCCACATCGCAGCCAAACTTCAAAGGCATTGAGAATTTTCATAACAAATCTTTAATGAACTCAAGGTTAAGTGTGTCTCTGACAATAAGAAACAACCCAAGGAGTATAACAAACATGATCCCAGATGACATAATCAGCTGCTCCAGTTCTAGCGGAAGCTTCCTTCCACCTCTAGCTGCTTCTAAAAGTATCAGAGCCAATGAACCCCCATCCAGAGCAGGTAAAGGGAGAAGGTTTATCACCGCAAGATTAAGATTTAGGAGAGCTGCAAACTCATAAAGCCCATCCACAGTTGACCTTGCAACTTCTGCCCCAACAGCAATAATAGCTACAGGACCTGAAACTTTGCCAGCTGATTGTGAGAAATTCATAAAGGTCTGCCTCAAGCTATCCACCACATTATATGAAAGACCCCAGAACTCTTTTCCCGCATAATTGAAGGCCTCAAAGATATCATTTGGTCTCATTTTAGTTATCTTTACATTTGGCGATAACTGAACTCCAATTTTTCCTGTTCCATCAAGATTCTCGTCTGGAGTGACCCCTATTTCAAAATCCTCCTTTCCCCTCTCAACCTTTAGGAGCACGTTTCTTTTGGGATTGTGCTTTATAATCTCCACAACTTGAGAAACTACACCAGGCCCAGTTTTTGGCAATTCAATACCATTAATGGCAAGGATAACATCACCGGGAAGAAGACCATCCCGGGAAGCAGCTGAAAAGGCTCTAACTTCAGGAACGAGCACCCCGGAGAATGCCTCCTGCACTGGTAACCCAACTGACAAGACTTGAGTAAATATTATTCCGTAGGCAAATATAATATTGGCGACAACCCCAGCTGAAATGACAATAACCCTGTCTAATATGGGTCTGTTCTTAAGCAAATTCTCATCGTCATCGGGAATATCACTATTGGGATCATTATCAGGGAATCCCACAAATCCACCTAATGGAAAAGCTCGAATAGAATATTCTACATTGTTGGCATTGAACTTTGCTAAAATTGGACCAAAACCAACAGCAAATTTACTTACATGGATTCCCTGGAGAGAAGCAGCGAGGAAGTGACCGCTCTCATGAACAACAATGATGGCAGTCAACACACCAGCTGCCTCCAACACAGATTCAACACTCCCAAGATCAAATCCAGGAAGAGCCCATGACCTGATATCAACCCTTGTGGCAGCCGAATACAAAAACTTGGTCTTGCTTGAGGGGGAAGAAGAGTAAGAAACAGAAGGAGAAAGAGATTTAAAGAGGTGTGTTCTGGATCTTAAAGGGAACTCCAAGTAAGGTGGCTTCGAATTGGATAATCTGCCAAGGATATAAGAGGAAGAAGAAGAAGAGAAAGGCGGACAAGTACAAGAAGAAGAGAAGTTAATGAGCATGGTTTGTTGGCCTCAAAGAAGAGTTGGGATTAAAGAGAAAAGTGAAGGAAATATCGTGTGGCGAAAGACAGAAGCAGAGTAGGATAACTCATAGTTGTTGGGTTCGGGGTCTGTGTGGGGGGAAATGCCCCACTCAGTAAGCCGAAATGCCACCCTCTCGTTTTGGTAAGTGGTCTGATTGTTCCGTCTGGACTTGTTCATAGATTGAATTTATTTAGTGAAAATAATCATTAAATGAAAAAAAAATATCTCAACTATCCTTCATAAAGTCTATAACCACCCGTTAATTATGATATAAACTCAATCATTAACACCAAAGTTTGTGACACCAACCATGTCCAACCAAAATACAGAAATAACTTAAAATAGTTTGCACTACCAGTATTAAATATTATATATAAAAGAAATCCCTAATGGTAATTTAAATGGAGCACGGTGGAAGAGTTGACGAATTCCTTTGTCAAGAAAGACAAGAAAAGCGTGTCATCCGGGCCGGCTTTCCATTCCCAACGACATTTGCAGAGTAATGAAAGTGAGTAACAACCGATACACATACCCACCTAGTCACCTACTAATGATCTTTCAATTGAATTTCAGGTGGCGAAACTCCTTGACCAACCAACCAACAACGCGTCCGAACCAGTGCTTCTTGTTCTGATAAGATAACCTACTTAAAGTTCAAACAACTCAGAGATTGATGGCTTTGAAATGTGTTGCTCTGTTGGGGTGGAGTCATTATGAATTTCCCGGGTGGAATCAGTCCTCTAACCCGGCACCCGTTACCGTTAGATGGTTTTCAGGTCACAGGTCAATAAGCTCCTCCGTTCAAGTTGGCAAAGCATCTGCTACTCATAACCAAGGAAGGAAATTCCACAAGGATTTGACTTCTCTCCCAAGTCAGTGTTTATCTCTCTCTTACTTAATTGTTTTTGTTGAATTCTTCTCCGAGATAATTACTGGAATTCTTATTACAATTTGTACAATTTTCATTTTCTACTAAAACCAAACTTTAGTAGGTTCAACTGTTTAAGGCTCTTTGATTGTTTTCTGGGAATGGGATCTGGGTGCATTTAACTAGCCTTGAATGAATGTTTGTGCGCTGGTATATTACCTGCTTCTACGTTTAACTAGGAAATGAAATAGCTTTCCCTTTCTGTCTCTATCATAGTATCATTCGCCCCCAAGATCCAATTTGAGAGTTAAGGTTTGTCTAAATAATAATTTCTGTGAGTGTTACTTTGGTTTCTCCAATATTAGCTTGGTCAGATTCCCATCTACTGTCCAATTCCGTGCAATATCCTCTTTTGAATTTTCCCACTAATTGCAGAGCCATTAACTGTTGCTGATTTATCAGTCACTCCTGATGATTCTTCAAAGGTGCGGATATCATTTAAGGTATGATAAGAATCACTTGCCTCTACTTCCCGGAAAAGGATAAATAGGAATTGCCACTCAAAGAACCTTTTTTTTTTCACTTTGATTAAATTATTGGTCCAGGGGACACTAGGTTCTTACGCTGAGGATGCTGCACTCAAAGCCTACCCTAAATGTAAAACAGTACCCTGTGATGAGTTTGAAGATGCATTTAAGGTTCGTTATCTGGTTGTTGTACTAGTATGTAAAGGAAAAGAGGATTCTTTACAGAAGCCTAATTCTGCCATGTGTTCATGTTTGAAAATCTATTTGTCACCGTAACGTGTAATCTCAGCTTTTACTTTAATAGCTCTGACTGTCTGCCATTGACTCAATCCTGAATAATGAATTCTTTTAGCAACTGTTTGGTGTCCAAACACCTAAAGGAGAGAAATATTTCTGACATGCAAATCTATGCTTCTTTCTTTATTTTATTCTGATAAAGAGACATTCATATGGGCAGGCGGTTGAATTATGGCTAGCTGAAAAGGCAGTTCTTCCAATTGAGAATTCTTCTGGCGGTAGTATCCATCGCAACTATGATTTACTCCTTCGTCATAGGCTTCATATAGTTGGTGAGGTGCAGCTGCCTGTCAATTTCTGTCTACTAGCTCTGCCAGGGGTCAGAATGGAGCAGTTGAAACGAGTGCTAAGTCATCCCCAGGTTAGTCTTTTCTCACCAAATCTCCTTTCATTTTGTTTCTCTATTTTTGTTAGTTTCAATAGGCATCCATAGGCCTTGCCTCATTTACATAGTACAGTCAATCAGTCTGCAGCTCAATCCTTCTTTTGTGCACAATAACTGATCTATTATGATCACATTATTCTGGTGCTCAAAAGGGTAGTATATGTTTGTAATACAACACTGTCTCATTCAATATGTCCAACAAAAATTTTAACTTTTAACTTATGCAAGTTATGTTCTTACATGCAGGCACTTGCCCTGAGTGACATTTTCCTGAGTAAGTTGGGTGTAGCCAGGGAAAATGTTGATGATACAGCTAGCGCTGCTCAGGTATTTGTTTTAGAGTCCCTTTAATTTCTTAACTTGAATCTTGATACGCCAACATCTATCAGGTTGCTTGAGACAGAATGTCTCTTCTTCCTCTATTAACCTAACAGAGTATTTAATTTAAATCACTTTGCTTTAGTACGTAGCCTCAAATGGCCTGAGGGATGCTGCTGTTGTTGCAAGTATTAGAGCTGCACAAGTCTATGGACTTAATGTACTTGCAGAGAAAATTCAGGTATCTTTTCACCTCCTTTGTTCTTTATAGTTCTAACTTGCTTTCCTGCAAGGGAAAAATAAGCATGGTGTCTTTCTGGCTGATTTGATCGTCTTACCTTCATTTTTTTACCTGGAAATTTTATGATTTTATTGTAATATTTTGGTAATGTAGAAAACAAACTATTCAACCTAAGAATGTGAAAGTGCAATATTTACAATCATTTCTTGAAGTTTGGGTGGAAGTTCATATCTTTTGGATAAGCAAGTTTAGGTGGAAGTTGACGTTCATTTGATGTAATTTGACATGTCTCAGCTTATGGTTATGTCAATTGTCCATATGTGCTCAATTATACCGAGAATTACTGTGATTAATCTGAAATGCTGCTTTCTTTGCTAAAATTTAGTGTGTTCTGCAGGATGACCCTGACAATATCACTCGGTTTCTGGTATTTGCTAGGGATCCAATAATTTCAAGGACTGATAAGCCCTTTAAGGTAAACGTTGTTCTTCCTTCTAACTTATAATTATTTTAAGTTCACTCAAGAGTTTGCCAGTTTCAAATATAATAGTTCCTCAATCCAGACAAGTATTGTATTTACTTTGGAAGAAGGGCCTGGGATATTGTTTAAAGCATTGGCAGTGTTTGCACTGAGAGACATAAATTTGACAAAGGTATCTTAAAGGTTGTTTTTCTAGTTTACGCTGTCAGAGAGCCTTTGTTTCTTACTCTTTCTTCTCTGCACAATTTCAGATTGAAAGTCGGCCCCAGAGAAAACGGCCATTAAGAGTAGTTGATGACTCCAACACTGGGGCAGCCAAGTGAGTATAATATTTTAAGATTCAGTTCAATGACCATTAAAAGTTTAAAACCTTTCTAGTACTGGTGGATGTTCTGACAGGATAAGTAAAAGAATATTACTTGAACACGGAACAGGCACTTTCTTTTTTTCTTTCTTTCTTTTCCTTTTCTATTTTGGAAAACGTGGAAAAAACTTGTGTATGTGCATAATTCTCTATATCCCCCAAATATGCCATAGTAACAACTCCATATTTAGAGCTGAGTCATTTAAAATCACATAGTCTTATGATTGTACCTTTATTCAAATTAAAATGATCACTAATAAGTAGAAGCAGCTAGTTGGGAGCCAGCCAATCATGTATATGAGGTTATAATGTTAACTAATTAACTTGTAAAGATGCCACCAACAGAACTGAACCAAGTCCGTTTTGCATTCACAAGCAGAGTGATGCTTGGATCAAATGATCATTGAGCACCTTTGTCATTGTGTTGTAGAATTTTATCAGAACAAATACCAGAGATAGAGAAGAGACAGTTGCAATGAACATACAGTCGTGTAAATATGTGTACAACCTCATCTAGTTTGTTGTTTGACAGACCAGTTTACGGTTTCAGGTACTTTGATTATCTTTTCTATATTGATTTTGAAGCTTCTATGGCTGAGCCTCGTGCACAAAATGCTTTGGTGCATTTGCAGGTTTGGTTTCTTAGTTTTAACTATACATATTATGGCTTTTTTTGTGCCTGCTGACTTCTAAATTTTCAAATTCTGTATACAATTCTAGAACAAACTTTTCCTTCCTTCTGTCAATTTGTCTATTATGTTGTAATGTTTTTCCTACGGTATATGACTATTGCTTGAGAAAGTACTCCCTAATTCCTGCCATATCTCCTTTGGAACTTACCGGGCTTCCTGATTAGATTCTTATATTTAGGGGTCAAGAATATTGTATCAAAGCTTGCTTTACATGTTTTAGGAAATTCTGAAGTTAGAGGGCGTATGCATAACTGAAAATGAGAAGTGTTTGATTATTTGTTATTGGTTTTTCTTTCGGTTTTATTTGATTCTTTATAGGTAAAAATTTTGTAGGTCATTATACATTTAACTGCTTCACGTCTTTAATCGTGAGGTTGGTGACAAATTATATAACTCATGTTTCCTTGCAGAAGAATTATGAAATTGTTTACCTATCACTAACCTGCTCAAAGTCATGGTTTTGTCCTCTGTTGCTGTCTTGCTGGGGATGTCATGCAGTCATCTTTGAGCTTAGATAGTTGCTTTATGACATGTTTAACAATTGCGATATGTCATTATCGTTCGATATGGTAGTTCTTGGTCTTGGAGTCCTTTTGGGCATTACAATTTAATATTGCACTGCAGGAATTTGCAACATTTCTTAGAGTACTTGGTTGCTATCCCATGGACACGACTTTGTAGCTGTCTCGTATGCACTCTTTTCATATCCATGTCCTTTTTGAGTTAGCAGTAAGAAGTTCTTGTAAACCTTTTGGCATTACCTCTTACAATATAGTGGATTAAAGCTCAAGTTTACAGGTGGTGATAGGGGATGCATCTTGAAGAGAGGTCCCAACGCGGGATATATAAAATGCTTTGAAGTCAGATTCAAGGTAGGATTTGATACAATCAATTGAAGATCATAGCATGAGAGCTACAGGGAAATTATCCTTATCAGTTAGAAAGTTCAAACCAAGCTACATAGTGTAGCATACTCTGCAACAAGATGACACCGTTAGTCCACATATATAATAGGTACTTTTTTCTTTGTTAATATTTTAGCCGGAGATTCCATAACATGTAAAATCCCTCCAACTTAGATTGTACTAGAGATTTTGGGATCAATAGTTGTTATGCTAACGCTAATTCAGCGTCATGTATTATTTTCGTTGGTATAGCCAGAGTGTCACCAGAAAACCGTCTGTTGAGCAATATCATATCATATGCAGTAAACGAAATGTTTGGTGACTGAAAAGAATTCATCATAGGCCCTCTGATTCCCTCTTGAGGGAAATAGTGGCAACGGCTGATCAGTGTTTCTGGATATATATATATATACACACACATATTTGAATTGTGGGACAATGACATTCACCACATTAATTGTCGATATATAGACCAAAAATTTATGTCTTCCTCTTTCCTTAATTTATTCAACGTAGAATTAATTGCATAAAGCATGGCCCAGAAGATGAAAAAATAAAGAAAATTCTGAAGCTCAAGGGGGAACTCTTCATTGACGCAAAATCACAATACACATAACATATTTAACTTTTTCATTTGGCAAAGGGCAATCTAAGCTTTTACGGTCTGGGCTGGAAAACTGAAGTCTTGAAGGGGAACTCCGATGAAAGAAGTAGAATCTGTGTCGTGTCGAGCGCTTTGCACTCTAGGATGGAATTGGAATCGGAAATCAGTAGCTTGGAGCTACGCCCCATAGGTCCATTTGTATACGTGCCTGCCTTGATATTCTCTCTCTTAATTTGTCGAAGCCAAACTCCTTGGCTTTGGCATCAACCTTCCTCCCATCTCCGTTTCCGCTCATGGTTCTAGGGCATGAGTTAATGACCTCGTACACGATGCATATACCTGAAAATGGAAGGTAGTAGCAGGAACATACATATCAAGTTCCAAGAAAGAAATGGTATGACCTTAAAGGAAATACACAATAATATTGGTTCTCAAATACTTGATATAGATCTGACTAGTCTAGTGACTCCTTCCTTATTTAATTGAGAATAATGACGTCTGCTACTCAGCAACTATATACATTATGATAGCACCCTTGGTCTACAATTTACTGAAAATTTATTGATAAATTAAGACTCCAACCGTAAAGTACACACATAATTTCATTACATAAGTTTTTTTTTCTGAATTAAGAAAAGAGATTCGATCTTATTTTTAAATTACATTTTAAGCAAGAGATCATATACCCATCAATTCGTGAACAAATCAATAGATATACAAGCTATTTTGGATCTTCATCATCAAAGTTTTCAGTTTTCACCTATCAGATAAATATATATATATATATATATATAAAAGATCCGATTGGGCATCAATAAACTAGTTTTCTATTGGTTTTTTTTATTCCTTTCTGGTTTTTCTTTCTAAAACATAAAAGCTGGTCATTCGAGCAAAAAATAATAGAAAAAGATGTATGAACACTAGAATTCAAAGTGATTTAACTTCTAGGCAAAAAAAAAAAAAAAGAATTGAAAGAAAGTACAACGATACGTACGATAGAAAGACGTTGAAAGTGCAGATTGTGCAACTTGAAGCTTGAAAGCCAAAACTAAGGCAGGCACCAGGGAAACCTCAAATTCTTCCTAGCCAGAAACAGCAGAGAAAAGGGAAAGAAAGAAAGAAAGAAACAAACTCCCTACATTATTCTACGTTTCTTCTAGGAAACTCATGGGATGATACTATGAAGAGGACAAGGGGTGGGTGGCTCGAAGGAGAGATATATACCAGCACACAGAACAAGTACTAGCATAGTTTGGATTTTGAGGTTCATTGAACCTGGACAATTTGGTGAACAGTCCTTTGAAGTTACGTGTTAATTTCTTTCTTAATATAAAAATGGAAAGAAATACAAAAAAGGCACGACAGAAATGGATGGTCAGCATGCCTTTGAAGCTCCGAGTACGACCTTCCTTTGCAACCAGATGTGGTTCTCTTTAGTGTTCATCGTCCGCTTCTCTCAAACACTCGAATTAAAATGAATAATTAATTTTACAAAATTTTATATGGCTGGACCAGGAGATGAAAGATAAGAAATCATTTCCTCTATAAACAATGAACAATACATGACTGAATTACGTACCATGCATGCATGCATTGAAATCTAACGTATATTTAATTTTTTATTTTTTATATACTTTTAATTTTTGAATGATAATAAATTAACTCCATCTTTTTATTACTAAACAGAAAAAAAGAGAGTGTTTAGTTTAGTATATACTACATAGAGATTTAGACGAAGGAAAATTATGACCATTTAATGTTGGATTGGACATTTATATATATATATATATATGAATGACAGGAATATCGAGATACTCTAGATTGTGAAGGACATTGCCTACCTATAATTTTAGTCTAAGCCAATAACTTGGCTCCCAATAAAAGTGAAAAGGAAAAATAAAATAACAACATTTACTTAAATTGGTACGGACTTCAAACTATACTAGTAATATTTTGGTCCTGTCTTGTTTTGGGATTTCTTTTTCACCTTCAACAACGTTAATAAACCCATTATACATTATTCGCACCTCAAGAATACTAACTCATACAACCTTAAAACAAACTAAGTTGTATCCATGCCATGAAGACATGTTTTTGCTTTGCAATACAAACGTAATTTAAATTTCCAAAGAAAAACACTCTCATGTTCTGCTACCACCACCTCCGACGCTACCAGAACCAGTGACTGAGCCTTGGCCAGCGCCAGCACCAGCGCCAACTCCAACTCCAACACCAATTCCAATTCCAACTCCGAATCCTCCACCATGACCTCCTACTCCTCGACCACCATTTGCACCACCACCAACTCCAAAACCTCCACCATGACCAGACCCACAAGCCACCACCACCACCACCTCCTCCGCCACCACCTCCTACAGCCCCACCTCCTATTCCAACACCTGCTCCAAATCCACCTCCATAGCCAGAGGCTCCACCTACTCCACCCCCAAGTTCTCCTCCTCCTCCTCCCCCACCTCCACCTCCTCCAGCAGGACCACCAATTCCGCCACTTACACCTCCTCCAGCTCCAAAGCCCCCACCATGACCTGAACCACCACCACCAACTCCTCCTCCACCATCAGCTCCAACACCTCCTGCTGCTCCACCACCTACTCCACCTCCAGCTCCAAAACCTCCACCATGCCCTGAACCACCCCCAACACCTCCACCTCCACCACCACCCCCGACACCTCCTCCAGCACCAACTCCGACTCCACCTCCTGCTCCAAATCCCCCACCATGACCCGAACCACCTCCAATCCCACCACCACCACCTCCTCCACGTCCACCACCAAACGACGGGCCACGACCACTAAATCGGCCACCACAACGCCTTGGACCCCATCTACAATTGTCATCTCGAAATCTAGCTTTGTCAACCTTGTCATCACCAAGAGCAATTGTACTCATATGAAGCACAATGCAGAAAGAAAGGAGAATGAAAGCAAACCATTTCGCAGAGATTGCCATGGCCATTTTCCATTTTTGCTCTCTGTTTGAGACTGATCTGCTAATCCCTCAGCTTGCTCTCGCTTGTTTAAAAAGTGAGCTTATATAGGATTCATCCACTAGACAAGTTGCAATGCCCCACAAGCAGGCAGCAAATGGGTGCATTTCTGTGACGCGTTGAAGTCGTTGGGGGACTGGCTAGAACATTAATGTCGAAACCAAAGTCAAAGAGACTACTTGAATGGTCAGACAGAGCCGACCGGAGGTCGTCTGGCATCGCAATTACATACATAATATCTGGGTCCTGTAACTTTCGAGCGCGACCATTCATGTTTTCAGGGTTTTACAGCACGACGCCACCATAAACGTTGAAGCAAAAACTCATAAATTATCTGCTAAAAGATGGTTTAAGCATTTTCATAGTTATTATTATTTGTTTAAATATGTTGTTAATTTCAAAACAGAGGGTACCGACTCACAGCTATTATTAGCTACTAATTACTAATAACATCACATGTCTGCTTCTCTCTCTCTCTCTCCATATATATCAGTTTTTTGTTGATTCTCTTTGGGAAGAAATTTAACCATGCACTCATGCGTGTAGGTGGAAATGCATTGCAAGCAATATCCAGTGATTAAGTACAAGGAGGCCTTGCCCATGCAGATATGTCCAAGTTCCACCTAGTCAACTCCACCGACACTGAAAAGCTACCAGCATTTATGCAGTCTAACCTAGAAGTTAAGTTTTAGCACTGCAAGTGAGTGCTCATTGGAATTCAGAAGCATTTTTTTCCAATTTAATTAGTAGATGCAGAGGATGGTGATTGATCATGTGGTAACTTTATCAAAGTTATCAAAATCATACCCGACAATGACTTATTCAAGATTTCGAGTTAATAGTTCAACAATATTTAGGTTATTCAATTTAATTAACATCACAATAATAAAAAATATTTTAAATGTTTGGCTCGTGAAAGCAATATTTAACTCAGTGGACCGAATAATATTATATATATATATAAATATATTTCCAACGACTCCAAGCATAACTCTGCCTAACAATGAACAGTATTAATGAAGTGAAAAAGTAGCTTCTCATCCATATTTGTCAATATGGATGCTATATGGAGTTTTTCCTCAAGTCTGTATTTAACTCAACGTGATTGCTGAGAATGGGAAAAATCGAATACGCATGGCTGCAAGCAATTAGGTGCACCGAGGGAACAAACAGGGGTTTCCTTGGTTGAAATAGTGATATACAAACCAACAGAGCAAAAAGCAGACACTTGGTTTTTCTGCTATATATGTGCTGACACCCCAAATCTTACATTCAGGGTGCATGATGATCCGCAATGAATATTTATAGATGTGTACAATACTCTGAGATTTTTTAGATGAAGACGGAGAACATCTAGCAAGTTAAATCGGATCTCCAAACGATAGCGTGCAAGGAATAAACGAAGCACTACTTTGACTAAGTTATAGAACTCAGGTTGTTTTAAATTCACATCAAAAAGACGATGATCATTTCTGTAATGACAACAATCCCCTAATGCGAAACAAAAAACTGAACCAGTCAAGTATAAGATGAAGGTGCGTGGCTCGAGTTAAGCCTTGCCTAATTGTTAGAGCACCGTTAACGATACAATACAATACAATACAGTCTACAGATATATCTTGTCTCCTCCGGCCAAACCACTGCAGAATCATGAGTTCTGACAGTTCCTCTCCAATCAATCATTTTTGCTTCACGTGCGTTGTCCTACCGCCCGACCACATAGAAGAGCATTCCTTGGGATCGGATATTCATCCCTCCATGAATTTGCAGGGGAGTAGACACGGAGATAGAATTGCTGGCCTAGGTATTGGCGAGCCCAATTCTCCGATCTTACGTTCCACATCCCCACATTATCCAAAGGCATATAGACTGCAGTCCATGACCTTGGATACACCTGTGTTTAAATGGAAGAACTTGAGAATGCTTCTTTTTATAGAATATATATATATATATATATATATATATCTTGACAAGATCCAAACATTGTCAACATTTATAAAATATTGTTTAGAATTCAGAAGAGAATGCTGAAGAATGATGGTAAAGTTGCATGTTACAAGATAATAGACGAGGAAACTATCTTGACAAGATTCGAAGATTCAGAAAAAATTTAAGGTGTTACTTAGCTTTCGAAGAGAATGCTGAACAATGAGAAACTAAAAAGGTGTGTTACTTGATACTAGATCAGGAGGCTGCAAATATCAGTTATATTGTTGGCTTCTGCTAGATGGCTTTTTCTTGCTTTTGCGTTTTGATGCAAAAGAAGTAAAAACCAACGGAGCCTTACTGAAACTACTAGCTCTTACATTGCATTTTCAATTCCCTAGGTGAAAGGGAAAAAAAAAATCCAATAAAGGAAACAGTGGTTGTTATATATTTATAGCAAAAAGAAACTGATGGATGGTGTTCCAATTCTATTTTCTAAAGTCACCGAAATGAAATTGCAAGTATAGTTTACGTGCTTTTAAAGGTTAATTTAACATTCGTTACTTTACCTGAACAGTGCAACGCGAAATTGTATCTCTCAAGTTGTAAGTTAACCTGCTTGCCGGCGTCCACTGACCCCCATCCATCCTGCACGACTCAAAATGTAAAAAATTATAGGTTCTGTAAAATAGAGATGATCTTACCCCTCACTACAGTTCAAGACAAGTTTGTTTGGAGAGTATGTCTATTGCATGGATCGAGCAAAATCAGCAGTTCACTGAAGCAAAATCGCAATTATTGAGCTTGACATACATACCCCACAACAAAGAAGTTGTGACCATCAATGTGCCATGATTGCAGAGTGTCTTCTGGATTCTCAAAAACAATCTCAGCATAACCTCTAAAATCAGCAGCCATGACAGAAGTTTGGAGGTAAGCGCCACCTCCAGTCGGACCATCTGGAATGCTTCCAAGGGAAAATACTCCAGAGATGTTGAAGTAGTCAGCAAGTTTAAGTGGGGTGTCAGCTGGGATGAAGGAAACACTGTTGACAGCATACCTCGGCTTGCCATTGATAATAGAAGCAGAGCTTGCAAGTCTAACTGTACGCGTGGTGTTGATCAGTCCATAGTGGTATGAGCCTTGAGGATTCGGTCTTGGTCCACTAGCTGTGAGGTTCCGCCTAGTTTGATATATGCCAAAACAAAATTAATGAGAACTTCTGATCACTGATCAGCTTAAACAAGTATTAATAGCTGGATTTGCTATCCTACCAAGACTGAAGAAATCATATGGTTTTATTATAATGGCATGGTATCTAGAAGAATGGATAATCTTGCCTTACTCATCCAAGGAACTCAATAGTAACAGAGGAATTACCAGCAAGGGAGAGACGAGCAACTCTAATACTGTATTGCCTGGATGCAATGCAATGGTTGATAGAAAACAAAAAATTGAAGTTGCGCAGTACCTGATAGAACGGGCTTGTTCAAGAGACCAATCAATTTGAGTAGTTGGGCCCCCGGGAAGAGGACCAGAAACGGTTCCTGCTGAGTTACTATAACGAAGAATTGCTGTTGTGGCAAGCACCTGGGAGGTGAAACGGGTTGAGGCAACAATGTAGTATTCTTGTGCCGGTTGATCAGCAGTAACCAACACGGAGTAGGATTGCCCCAAGTGAATATCAAGGGAATCATAAGTGTTTTGTAGCGTGTGAGTTCCTTCAACCTCTACTAACAGCAATTTGTGCCCCTGGATTCTGAAATTGATGGATGTTGTAAGCCCAACATTGGATATGCGAAACCTGTAAGTCTTGCCTGCTCACAAGTTCAGAGAATCATTCCATAAGTTTTAGGACTATGTGAAGAATAATGAACTTAAATAACTGTCATGATCGCTTACCTTGATCAACAGTAAATGTGTATCCATTTGCACCACGACCATTGATAAGTAGGCCATCTGGGAAGGGAAGATCACTACCGCTATCTAAAATTGCTTTCAAGTCCTGTAGAATTCCAAGCAAAGCAACTAATTAAGATTATAAGCATGACGTTCATCGTTTATGTTTTGTGCATGTTCTTACCAAAGTAGTTATGAATGCACAATATCAAATCGTGAAAAAAGCAATAGAATTTAAACTTACAGTATGGTTTTTCTTGTACCAGTCACCTGCCAAAATGGTGTAATCAGCAGCAGGAGGCGGGAAAGGAACAGGAATAACAGAGCGGCTAAAAATTCTGAAGCCACCATATCCTCCTGCTGCCTTATGCAAGGCAAGAGATGGGAAGTAAAAGTAGCTGCCTATCTGATCCTTCACTTGAAGAGTGTAGGTGAAGTTCCCCCCAGGAGGGATGGGGCAGTTGGTACCGTACACTCCGTCCTGCCATGAATTTCTTCTTTGTTGCACGCCATTCCTGAACAAGAATTGTAGGGCATCAAGCTCAATCTTACAGTTGAATCTGTGCTACCAACATGGTTCACCTAATAATAGCAATGCAGTCAAAAGCAGTTAAAGCATCTATTTCCGTTCACAGGCACGATTCAAACAGTCCTAAAAGAAAGAAATACTATGAGAAAAGAAATCGGGGGATGGCCCAGGCTGAATCATGGTCCAACCCAACGCAATGGGCTAATCTGTCAGAGTAAACCGGGGCACCATACCCCCAGAAGTTTGGATGCCTAATATACCCCCAATTAAGAAAAAAGAGCCAATATATCTCTAAATAGTAATGCACTCTTCGCATGCTAGCATCTTGGTCAATATCCATTGTAAAAGAAATTGGAATTTCTTTCTCTTATATGAAAAAACGAAAAAAAAAAAAGAGTGATGCCCTGTACCTGTGACAGAGGACAAAACACAAAAGAAAAGAAAGGAACAAGTAGCATTGTTGTGTAGTGCAATAGATCTAGAAAACCAACCAAGAGAGCAAAAAGGGTTGAGAGAGATAGATTTGAGTTTCCTTCTCCCTAAATCACATAAAGAAAGTGTAATGTGCTGTACTTGTCATTCATGACAGTGGAAAAACAAGGAAGGGAGCCAGCACCATTGTTGTGCAGTGCAACGTTGCTTGCAGAAAATAAAATAGATCTAGGAAACCAACCAAGAGATTAGAAAGGGTTGATCCAAGCTATTGAAAACATTAATGATCAAGTTCTCGTTGGTCACGGATTCAATTTGTGGCCCCGGAAATTGGCCGTTTATCAGAATCCCCTGCCATCACATGTATCCGAACTTCAGAATACAAAATTGAGAAATAGAAATTAACAATAAGAAAAAGTAAAAGGAAAAACAGAACCTGTTGTTTCACTCCAAGAGGGTAGATATCACCATAGGTGACATTCCAAGTAAAGAACCTGTATGCGTCTTCTCCATTGGTGCAGATTACAAGCAGCATCACCAACATAAAACAAGATACTCTTACTCCCTTATAATCTCCCATTTCTATTTCCTTTGCCAGCAAGTTCAGTGGGATTGATTTTTGCGGAGGAGGAGAAAATGGCAGGCAAAGAACACTCCCTACCTTGTTCCTGTAAGGAAGGCTTTATTTATTATCTATATTTTATGTACTACTGGTATCTGTCTGTCTGTCTGAACTTTAGTTGTTCTCTTTTTCTCTTTTGCTTTAGAGTTGAAGCTTTGTCGGTGGGGATTGAGAAGATCCAAGATAGAGTTGAAAGGATTCTTGCAAGGAAATTCTTTTTGGTACTACTGTAGAACCTTCCCCCACCCTGTTGAAAGATGCTGGTGAGATGAGTGAAACTGAGTTTAATGACGTTTTATCTAAGCAGAAGCCACTGGTATATGAGCTGTACTGCTTCTGCGCAGCTGCAGTGTCTTTGAAAAAGGATGTGTCCTGTCCTCACTCCAATACCGCGTCCCTTGAGCTATGTGACTCGAGGATTACCAATTGAACCTCGTTCCCTTCCAATGTTCATTGCCATCTTGCGGTGGCCAGGTCAAGATAATGAATAAAAAACCGGATTTACTAAGATTACATGTGTAACCTCCCCCTAACTAGTAAAATCGGGGGAGAATTTCTTTCCCCAGCCGATGTCATTGTCATGGTTGTTTAAGCTCAAAAGAAAACACTACTCGCAATTTAGCCTCCCTGGCCAAACCATCCTTTGCAAATTGTAATCAAGCAATGGCCATCCCATGTATTTGATTTGGATTCAGTGTCACTGCTTCTTTTCGGTGGCTGTCTATGGTAATGATACTGTCCGTGGCAACGCTTTGCACCAAAACTCTCCCTTCCTCCCTATTTGAGGATATAATGGTAATTGTATTCTCTTTTTCTTTTTCTTTTTTATCTTTTTTGTTTTTTGTGTATTGATTTGATTTTGATCATTAAGATGAGTGAAATACTATTTTAGTTACTTATTATGACAAGTTAAATTTATTATTTATCCTTAAATCAAGTGTTTTTTTACTATTTTAAATTTTGAATTTGATTCATATTGTAAATATTTTTGTAAATATTTATTTATATTATTTATATTAAATTTTATGTAAATTAGATTAAATTAGCATTTAATCTATCTAATCCCTAAGTGTTATCTTCATATATTAAAATAAAAGAGTTATTTAAGTTCTCTCAGTTCATTTGTAAATACACATTTAAATAAGATCTCTTTTTTCCTTCTAAATACCTTTTTCCTTCTCTTTAATTATTCTTTCAAGTTATCTTTATTTATTCTTTTAAGTTATATTTTTATAACACGTTATCAGCACGATTCTCTAATTTATCAAGTTTTTGTATTATTTTGTTTTCATCATCTTCAAGTTTTAAAAGGATCTAATTTATCAAGTTTTGATATTATTTTGTTTTCATCATCTTCAAGCTTTAAAAGGATTTCAATGATTGAGTTTTAATTTTTTGTTTTAAAAAATCAGGTAAGTATTGGTATTATTTTATTTTCATCATCTCTAAATTTTAAAAGAATTTCAATAGTTGGTCTTTAATTTTTCGTTGTAACAAATTAGGTAATTGACTTAATCTCTCTTTAATATTTTTATTCCTTAAAAATCAACTTTAATATGAATATCATGTAGTACATATTATATTTTGTTCTTTGATTGAAAAGTGAATTTGCTATTATATAGCTATCAATGAAAAATTATGAATGTGATAAACGAATTACTAAGAAAAAATTATAAATTTGTTCATTCCCTGAAATGAATGCGACTTCATTTAATAGCATGATTACAATCATGAATCCATCCATTTTTTGAAATAAATGCAATATCATTTAATAATTATCATTATGGACATGAAAGAGATCGTTATAATAATTTACATTAGCACTATTTTAATTTTAAGTATAGTTTTACCACAAAAAATGGATAAATAATTTTACTATCAAAGGTAGATAAATACTTTTACCATCAAATATGGATGGATGCCCTAACCCACTAATCCACTAAAAATAGATAGTCCACCAGAAACGGATAACCTACCATACCCTCCAAAAGTGAATGAATACTTTTAGTCCACCTAAAATGTATAAATAATGAAAAGACTAAAATGGAAAGAATAAAAGGAATATAGAAAATGTATTGTCATTAATGTAGTATGAAAGACCATTGGTTACGTACCTATTATACGTCTTGAATTTTATCAAATATAACTGAAAACTAAAATATCTTGTGATGATTTTAACCATGGCCAAGTTGATATAGCTTTTGTCCACCCTAAAAGAAGAATTGATTATATAATTGGTAATGAAAATATCCATTGCTTATATTTTTGTCCTAAAAACAAATTGATCATTTGATTGATAATAAATAAAAATATCCAAGAATGAACTTAGTAATTAGTATATTTTAGTATAATTATATCATAAAGATGCTTTAATATGTTCTCATTATATTTAAATAATTTGTTCTTATTATGTGTTTTAATTCTATATTTAATGCTCTTTTATGTTAACTTGCAAGTTTCTTGTTTTATATACCTTTTCTTTATTAAAGAAAAATATGGATATTCCTATTGTTGGATCCAAGATTTATGATATAAATATATGTCTAATAAACATTACTATAACGCACACTATATTTAAAGACAAGAAATATTTTTCTTACTTAATAATAGAAGAAACTAATATCAATACAATATCTAATAGTACAAGAGTAATTGAAGGCTTCAAAAGAGCCAATATTTTATTACATGAAGGAACAAAGTATATAATAAAAGATGCATTATTTTCCACTAGATCTCAAAGAAACTTATTAAATTTTAAAGATATTCATTTGAATAGATATCATATTAAGACAACGAATGAAAAAGACATTAAATACCTTTATATTACATCTATTATGTTAGATAAAAAATGTGTATTGAAAATATTACCTATTTTGTCCTTTGGAATGTACTACATAAAAATTAAAATGATTGAAAATTATGTTATTGTAAACTAGAAGTTTACTAATAATTTTAATGTTTGGTATAACCGATTAGACCATCCTAGATCAATAATGATGCAAAAAATTATTGAAAATTAATATGATCATTCATTGAAAAATTAAAAGATTTTTTAATGTAATAAAATACTCATGTGTTGTTTGCTCTCAAGATAAATAAATTATAAGACTATCATTAGATAAAGTTGGGATTGAATTCTCTACGTTTTTTAAACATATTTAGAGTTATATGTGGATTTATACATCCATCATGAATCATTTAGATATTTTATAGTTTTAATCGATGTGTTGACAAAATGGTCACATTTGTACTTATTATCAAATCGTAATTTGACATTTGCTAGATACTTGCATAAATAATTTGTTTGTGAGTATATTTTTCTGATTATGCAATCAAGACGATTCGTCTTAACAATGCTGGTGAATTTACATCTCAAGCTTTAATCAATATTGCATGTCAATTGGAATAAATGTTGAAAAATCTGCTAGTCATGTTCATATACAAAACGGTCTAATAAAATTGTTTTATCAAACGCCTTAAACTAATTACAAGGCCATTACTTATTAAATCTAAACTCTCAATTTCTGCTTAGGGACATGTCATTTTGCATACAGCAACACTTGTACGCATTAGACCAATGAGTTATCATAAATTCTCCCTTATATAATTGATTTACGATCAAGAACTAAATATTTTTCATCTTAGAATTTTTGGATATGCGATATATGTTTCAATTGCTCCACCACAATGCATAAAAATAAGTCCTTAAAGGAGATTAGAAATAGATATTAGATATGAATCTCCATGTATAATTAAATATCTTGAACCCTCAATAGGAAATTTATTTGCTACAAGGTTTGCTGATTGTCATTTTGATGAAATAATTTTTTCAACATTAGAGAGAGAAAATAAGCAGTTAGAAAAGGAAATATCTTGGAATATATTATCATTATCTAGTTTTGATTATCGTACAAATTAATATAAACAAGAAGTTCAAAAGATAATCTACTTACAAAATATAGCAAATCAATTACCAAAAGCATTTATTAACCTAAAAAGAGTAACTAAATCTCATATACCAGCTACAAATGCTCCAATTAGAATTGATGTAAGACAATTTGCCATTGCTAATGAGTCTAAGACATATCAGAAGCGTGGGAGACTAAATGGTTTCAAAGATAAAAATCCTCAAAAAATAAAATGAGCAAATATTCAATATGGTTAAAAAGAGGAAACAAAAACTCTAGAAATGATATAATTTCAGAAGAAATTCAAGTACATGAAAATTAGTAAAAATGAAGAGATCTTAATAAATTATGTCATAATGAAAAAAAGATGAAACCATAATGAAATAAACATTGACGATATTTTTGTATACAATGTAACACTCAATATTATGGAAAATAACTTGAATCTACATTTGTTGAAAAATGTAGATATAGAAATGATTTGTCAATATAAAAGGACGCAATTAAAGTGGAATTGAATTCACTTGCAAAACATGAAGTTTATGGACCTATAGTCCATACACCAAATGGCATAAAATCAGTGGAATATAAATGGGTATTTGTTCAAAAACGATATGAGAAAGATGAGATTGTGAATATAAAACATGACTTGTCGCTTAAGGTTTCACCCAAAAATCTAATACTGATTATGAAGAGACATATTCTCTTGTGGTGAATGCAATTGCATTTCAATATTTAATTAGTCAGGCAATACATGAAAAGCTTGCAATGTATATAATGGATGTAGTTATAGCTTATTTATTCAGCTCACTTGATAATGATATTTATATGAAAATCCCTGAAGGATTTAAGGTTCTTGGAGCACAAAATTTGAATTCTTGAAAAATTTATTCGATCAAATTAAATAAATCTTATGTAGATTAAAATAATCTAAACACATGTGGTATGATCACCTTGGTGAATATTTATTGAAAGAAGATTATAAAAATGATCTTATATGCCCATGTGTTTTATTAAAAAATTCAGATATGAATTTGTGATAATTGTTGTTTATGTTAATTATCTAAATATTATTAGAACTCTTAAAGAGTTACCAAAAGTCGTAGATTACTTAAAGAATGAATTTGAAATGAAAAACCTTAGAAAAATAAAATTTTATTTGGGTCTTTAGATTGAACATTTGACAAATGAAATTTTTGACCATAAATCTAATTATATAGCAAAAGTGCAAAAACTATACTATGTGGACAAAGCACTTCTATTGGAATGGAATGAAATATAAACTTTGATACCTTCGAGGAACAATGGATATAGGCTTATATTATTCAAATGCATCAAAATCAGATTTAATTGGTTATGCAGATACAGAATAGTTATTAGATTCATACAAAACTCGATCCCATACAGGTTTCTTATTCACATATGAAGGTACGGTTATTTCATGGCATTCCGTAAAACAAACAATAAGTGCTACTTCTTCTAACCATATAAAAATTTTAG